ATACCCACACCCATTCCAATAATGTTGACAGTACTTGCGTCTTTGTTGGAGTTTTCTCTACCCTTCATATTTCATACCCAATTCTTAACAGTCTTCAAACCGGTGGCGTCAAAATTTGACAGTTTCTGTTTTGAAATTATGTGTTGCGTTATGGGTTTCTCCAGGATTTTTCACTTCTTCCCACTATTGTAAAAGAATCCCAGAAAAAAACCTCTACTTTCTTGGATGTCTAGCTTAGTTCACACAAACACTCGAGTCCCTGCTTTAAAGTTTCAATATTTTTATGCTTAAGCCTTGAAATTTCAATCTTGAGTCTCTGTGTGTGTGTGTGTGTTTTTTTTTTAAAGGAAAAGAAAGAAAGAAAGAGAGAAAGAAGAAACAATGGCTACAATTTCTCAGAGTTTCAAGATGCCCCTCCATTTTTCTAGGAATTCACATTGCAAGCTTCAATTCAGACACAGGGTTCATTGCTTATCGAGACGGGACTCAACTGTTATTCCCTCTGAATCTGTTCATGTGAATGGTAGCCCTTCCATTGATGTGGGAAGTGGGCATTTAAAGAGGAAGAAGGAATCTGTTCAAGAAGAGTTGGAGGTTTTGTGGGATGATGGGTATGGGACTCGAACTGTTAAGGACTATTTGGAGCTAGCAAAAGAGATTATCAAGGATGATGGTGGACCTCCAAGGTGGTTTTCACCCTTCTCTTCTTCTCCTCCTTTGAAAGGCTCTCCCCCTCTCTTTTTCTTGCCCGGTAAGCCGTTGTTTTTGCTTGTCAATAATTTTAAGGAATAAATTTTAAAGCTCAAGCTTATAGTAATAATCCCAAGAAAAGTTTTATACTCGAACACGCCCCGATGGGTTTAGGCGTTGGAAATGTTTTATAACTAGGCTATGCAACATGGTGAAATATGATGTCTTAAGACTAAGGGGTTTTTAAGTTTGTTATGAATATAAGATTTGTTGGTTAAAATCTCTTTCATTTATCTATTTATGGGTGTATTAAGTACATATTGTATCTTGCACATATGATGAACAAAAATTCTCATGCTTTCATGAATTCTTGTGCATATCATAGACAACCCTTTGGTTTGCAAAACTTTCTAATGCAAATGGGAATTTAAAAAAGTAAATGTCGCGTACCCCTTTTCACCCCTTGAAGATACCCAACTAAACAAGGGGTAAGGAACTGAGGACGGTAAGGTTGAACGTGCACCCAGTTGAGCAGCATATTTTGTGCGTAGAAAAAGTTTAGGTTGAATTGTGAAAAACAAAGCTTTTTTTCTGGTTTCAAGTGATAAATTTTCTGGGTATAGTGGACTTTGTAGTTTTGTTAGCTTCCTTCAAGTTTTTTTAGCCAAATTTTCACTATGTATGCAGGAGCTGATGGAACTGGAGTAGGTCTTGCTTTGCACCAACAGGCACTTGGGAAGTATGGGGTTATACATTCATTAAACCACACACACACACACACACATTTTTGTGATATTTTGCAACCAAAAGAAGTTCTTAATGACACGATAAACTTTCCAGTTTCGACAGTCTTTCTTTGTTAGTGTCATGATTTTAATTGCAATATCTCTTTGGTGCAGAGTTTTTGAACTCTGGTGCTTGCATATTCCAGTTCATGATCGAACCCCATTTGAAGGTCTTCGAACTTTTCTTTCTTTGAGTAGTGATTTAATTCTTCTTAGGAGCAAAGCCTTTCCCATCATAACAAACACCTCCAATGATGGAATCCAACTATTTTGCTAGTCACACCGAAGACTTTATGAACTCATACTTGTCTATCTTTAACTTTTTTTCCGATTTATATTCTTTTTCAGGGTTGATAAAAATGGTTGAACAAACTATAAGGATGAAGCACGATTCGTCACCAAATACGCCAATTTATATAGTGGGAGATTCATTGGGAGGATGCTTAGCACTTGCTGTTGCTGCACGTAATCCCAAGATCGACCTTGTTGTGATATTAGCTAATCCAGGTCAACCTTTTGACTTTGCAGCCATTGATATTAGCTTGTACGGCGGACCAATTTTCTTGTCATGTTCTAACATTAATGGTGTTTTCTACTGTCATTTCAGCAACTTCATTTGCTAGGTCACAGTTGCAGCCATTGTTCCCTTTACTAGAAGCAACGCCCAGCAATCTTCAGTTCACTCTCCCTTATCTTCTTAGTTTAGTTATGGGTATGCTTTCTTTTCCTTTTAAAGCATATTTGGGCAAATTACGCTATAAGGTTGTATCAAATGTAATAAAGATTCTAACCAAAGGTCTTATAAACTCTTAACTCTATTTAAACCATTCAATGTTGGATTCTAATATTAACATTTACGATTATTGAAAAGTGTTTTTTCGTAATAATATGAGTTCTCTTTTTCCATCTTAAAGTTGTATGGTTTTTTGTTGCATTAGGTGACCCGGTGAAAATGGCAATGGTTGGGATTGATACTTCACTTCCTCCTACACGAATTATTGAAAAATTCGCAAACACACTTAGAGATTTGCTCCCCATTCTTTCTGTGAGCATTGCTTGCTCTTCTTATATGCTTTTCATTTTCCCCATTTCCAGGAGAAAGTTTTATTTAACCCATTATTCATATGGTAATGTATATCATGATCTTTATTATTTTTCGATCTTTCATTTCTCAGGGGTTAGCCGACATAATTCCAAAAGAAACCTTAATGTGGAAGCTCAAGCTGCTTAAGTATGGATCTGAATATGCCAATTCCCGTCTTCGTTCTGTCACAGCTGAAGTTCTTATACTTGCTAGGTATCGTTATTCATCTTTGCTCTTACTTCGGAGTAGGGGTGGGGTCCACACACGACCTCCCCAGACCTTACTTTTTGTGGGATTTTACTAGATTTGTTGTTAGTGTATGAAATGTGATTAAATTCAAAACTTTGATGACAGTGGAAAAGACAACATGCTTCCAAGTGCAAGGGAAGCAGAAAGGCTAGCAAGGTCATTAAGAAACTGCAAAGTGCGATACTTTAGGGACAATGGGCATACCATTTTAATGGTGGGTGAGGACTTTACTACAAAGAGAAATTGTAATTTTACTTCTTGTAGAACTAATGGAGCTAAAAGTAATTCATTATTGACACTTTTTTAGCTTTGGGTTATAATAATGGACGTTAATGATCACTTTCGCCAATATATCATAGTATCGATCTGCTTTGTGCAGGAAGACCGTGTGAATCTATTAACTATCATAAAATGTACAAGCAAATATCGCCGCTCAAAGAGGCACGACTTCGTCTTGGATTATATCCCACCTAGTATGTCTGAGTACAAGCAATCCTTAGATATCAACAGGTATTTCAAAATAATGCTTCTTTCGTTTCTTGTTTGTTTCATGTTTTCCTTTTCATTATTTTTTATTTAAAAAAACTCCCTTCATCCAGATTTACTTGTCCACTTTTCCTTCTTGGGGCGTCCAGAATTAATTGTCCACTTTCTATATTCAGCAAACAAATTATTGGGAGTTCCCAAAAATACCCCCCAAATTCTGGTCTCTCTACAACTTATTCCCTGCGCATTCTTCTCCCACAGAATAATAGTTATTCCCTCCACCACAAAAAAGAATCGTCTTTGAAAACTTGTTTTTGCGCCAAAGAATAGCACCATTCGAAAAAAGAAGCCTGTGTTCATTGCACATAACATATTTCAATATAAAAATCAATAATTGATTATTTCCAATACTTGCACTTTACAAAACGTTAACCATGGCACCTTTGTGGAATATGACTCTTTCCAACCAAAACCTGCTTTGGCATTTTATTCCAGGTGATGAAAACCATGAAATGTACTTATGTTTTTAATGTGACACAGTTAGAGAATGATACCATGAGATGCTCAAACTGCAGATTTTACCGCAATGTCACCGGCGCCGCGATGTATTCCACAATGGAAGATGGGAAAATAGTGAGGGGTCTAGATGGAGTGCCCGAGGAAGGCCCGGTGTTATTGGTAGGTTATCACATGCTGCTGGGGTTAGAACTTGTGCCTCTGATTGAAGAAATGTTGACAGTAAAAAAGATTTTACTGCGCGGCATGGCACATCCTGCTTTGTTTTCACCTTTAGTTGAGAACAAGGGTCTCAATGAGATGTCATTCAATGATTCGATACGGTTATATGGAGGCGTGCCAGTCTCAGCTTCTAACCTCTTCAAGTTGCTTGCAAAGAAATCACATGTGCTTCTTTACCCTGGCGGTGCTCGTGAGGCTTTGCATAAAAAGGTGCCATTTTTTCTTCTTCTTTTTTACCTTCATTGAGATGGTTTGTGTTATAATTGCTTTTAGACTAAATTTCATAAACGGTCTCTTATTACATGGTGTTTTCCATGAATAGTTCCCAATTATAAGAAATTACATTTGTGGTCCTCGATATTTGAGAACCATTCCATAATCGGTCCTTTGAGGACTATATGTGGAAAAAATATATTTGGGTCAAAAGACTGATAATGGAATGTTTCTCAAATATAGAGGCCCCCCAATGTAATTTCTTAAAATTGAGGATTAGATATGGAATACACCATATTATAAGGGACCATTTATGCAATTACTCTTGCTTTTATATGAAGGAAAAATTTATGCCAATACTCCGAGATATTTAAGGTTTTTCAAGACTGCTCCAAAATTACATAATTATTTCAATATTTTTATAATAATTTGCCAAGATTGCATATTGATCACTTATATGCCTCAAAAAAATGGGAGATCCATTTAAACTAAAAAAATCTCATGGAATGTTACAGGAAAAAGTATTTTTTTCAAGTCCTGGAGTATTCTTGCAAAATATTTAAATTTTATTTTAACGATGCTGATTCTTGCATTATACATACCAAATACCAGGGAGAAGAGTATAAGTTAACATGGCCAGACCAACCAGAGTTTGTGAGGATGGCTGCAAAGTTTGGAGCTACAATTGTGCCGTTTGGTGTTGTCGGAGAAGATGACATTGTACATGTATGCCTGCTACTAACTCTTGCCATCTCTTTATCAACTCTTATTTTCACTCCCGCGCATTTTTTATTTTTATTTTTTTTTCAAAAAAATAAAACTTTTATCAAGTCTTATTCAAAGGAGAGAGAAAGAATACCCGAAGTATGTCTAGAAATGATTTTTGATGTGCTCATGTTATACATATGCAGTTACTTCTGGACTACGATGATATGATGAAAATCCCCATCTTAAGTGACCAGATAACGAGTTATAATGAAAAGGTGGAGAGAATGGGGTTTACATTAAGGTAATCATTTTGTACTTTGTCCGTGTTATAGTGATTTCTTCGTGTGTACTTCTATATATTTGAATCCGGGTCTTTTGGAAATCGTCTTTGTACTACCTAGCTGGGGTAACGTAATCGTACAAGTGACTATGAGGTCCCATCAATTTTACGAACGGAGCATCGTAGGTGCTCAAATTAGACTTGTCATATTATGACATTCTGGATTGTCAAAAGAAGAGAAATGCACTCGGGTTCTTTCAACAATAGAAATTGTTGTCATAATAATATGACAACAACTTCAATTGGAGTTCAATGAATTGATGTCTTCTACCCCCTAAACCCCACATTCTCCCACCCCACTCCAGCCCCCCGCCCCCCCATTCGCTGACTTGGCAGCCAAATCGGTGATTCGGGAAAGAGGGACTAGCTGGGGGTCTAGGAGAAGGTGCTCTAATTGGAGTTGTCATATTTTGACATTATGGGTTGTTGCCAAAAGAATGGGGACGCACTCCGGTCTTTTGACAATAGAAATTATGACAATAGAAGTTATTGTCATAATATGACAACAACTCCAATTAGAGCACCTACGGTGCCCGTTCTTAAAAAATGATGGCTCCTACCCTCTTAAACTCCACAGTCTCTCTCACCCCAACCTCCCCTCCCATTCGCTGATTTGGTAGCCAAATTGGCGATTGGGAGAGGGGGACTAGGTTGTGGTCTAGGGGCGTAGGAACACCATTAATTTTATGAACTGAGCATCGTAGGTGTTCCAATTGGAGTTGTTGTTATATTATGACATTGTGAGTTGTTTTCATAAAAAGGGAGGCCCCATAATAATAATAACGGTCGCCCTTCATTGTTGTTCTCGAGAGCAAGACTCGGGGATTACTCCCTTTTACACCTCTTCCTTGTCATCTAAACTATGTCGCTTGGTGAGGGTATGTTCTCTTCACATGATTTGAATGGTTCTGATCTGATTAGAATAAGTTTTGATCTAGTATGATTTGATCTGAGCTGATTCTAACAAGAATATGTAAAAAGTAAAAAAAGAATATGATGAAGAGAACATGCTTTTGAATCGTATCGTTTAATGGGTGCAGGGGCGACGCGAACGGAGAGGTTGCGAACCAAGCACTATACGTCCCGGGATTGATGGGGAAGATCCCGGGGCGGTTGTACTACTTGTTTGGGAAGCCGGTGTCAACAAAGGGGAAGCGGGAGGTGGTCAAGGACAGGGAAAAGGCAAGTGAATTGTACCAGCAGATAAAAACTGATGTTGAGAACAGCATGGCTTTTTTGCTTAAGAAGAGAGTGGAAGACCCTTACAGAGGCATTCTTCATAGGACTGCTTTTAGGGCTTTTTCTGCTCCTTTTGATCAAATCCCCAGTTTTAGTCTTGATTGACTCTCATTTCCTTAACTCTCTTTCTGTCTTACACATTATTATTATTATTATTTAAATTATTATTACTCCCTCCGTCCCGCTATATTCGTCCACTTTTGACTTTTGGAACTGTTCATCTAAGCACTTTGACTCATCAAATTCTCTCAATGTGTAAGCCTAAATATAGTCATGTGTGATCTTGTTTAATATGTCTTAACATATAGATTATTATTATATAATTTCTATAATTTTTTAATATACAAATTACAAGATAAAATAAATTAAAGAAGTGTATTGGATGGTGTGTAAAAATGAAAGTGGACAAATACTCTGGGACGGAGGTAGTATTATTTATTTATTCATGATTATGTAATTATAACACTAATTTGTTTATGATGTACTCTATAATAATCTTATCCTGTATCTGCAATTTATTTATATGTTATCTGTGTGATACATCTCTTGATCATGATGAATTGATAAAAGACTTATATGCCCACCCTTTGCCCCTCAAAGGTTTTATCATTTATTAGTTATTTCGTATTATTTACAGTGTCAAATTTTTGTCATCTTCATTTGCTTATTTTTGTTGTTTCAATATTCCCAAATTTGTTACGATCCGAAGACCGTAGGCACTCTAATTGAATTGGTGTAACAATCTTACATCAATAAAATGACATAAGATTACCTCTCACCAATATTTGTACGTTTCCTTAACTTGAACTAAAAAGATTCTCATCCTTCCCTTTTGAGGACTTGTTTCATTGAAGGGAAGTGGAACTGTGGAAGTGAAATAAGAAAGAAATACTCCTTCCGTCTCAAATTATAATGCATGTTCACTATTCACAGGATCAAACTTCATTCACTTTTTTTTATTTTAATATGTAATTTTTTATTTTTTAACTCTATACCATTTCTCATATAAAATGATTTGAAAATAATTTCAGTCAAACATCGTAAACCAAAACAAGCACTATAAATTGGGACGGAGGGAGTAGAAGTTTTAAAATTTCTTCAATTTTTTTCTCCTCATTTTTTTCTAGTTATAGGAATGTGTGGGAGTTTTTCGGGAATAATGGGAGATATGAACTGTGAATTTTAGAATTTGAGTATCATAGAGACGCAAATTGAGTTGGTAGCGGAATCTTACGTCAAATTAATTGGGTAGGATTACCCCTCTATAAGAAATGGCGGCTTTATTTGTGTAAGATTACCCCTACAAAATTCTTTCTACAAAAGGAAATGAAAACATTAATTAGAAATCTCAAGAAAAAGAATGCTAGAAGATTATAATCAAAAAATAGAACGCATATATTTAAAAAGTACTTCAAAAGTTCTATAAAAGAAGTGGTGAAAAAATATTTTATTTTATCTAATAATTAATGAAAATACACAAATAAACAAAAGCTCATGTCAAAGTAGAATTTATTTAAATCTAAATTATCTGAAAAACTTCAGAGTATAAATTGCAAGGGCTACGAGTATCATCTAAAATTTATACTTTCAATCATATCTTTGTTTTTACTCGCGAAATAACAATATAAAGTCGATTTTGAACAATTATTGACCTGCTAAAAAATTCAAAAAATGGTAATGTTTGATTTTGACTTTTGTTAATAGCCATAACAAAACATAAAGTTAGTGACAATTGTCTTCTTTGGAACTTTTTCCAAAGAATCAAGTGGCACCAAAAATTCATTCCGGGTATGTAAACGATCCCATCAACTTTGTTTTTTGATACATACAATTGCACCCATGATGTTCTTTACACAAGTTATCTCATTCGCCACCAATTTGAAGATTTTCCGGCGAGGAAACTCTAGTAAATTCTGTAAAGCCCCTTATAATTCTAGGCTAGCACTTTTTAGGACACCATCCCCAAACTTCACGACAGAGGTTATGTGTTCAACAAGTGTCCCTCCCGGAGGGAGCCGGGCTGTGAAGGGTACCCACCAGGCAAGTGAACACATTGTCATCAGGGGTAAGCCCTGCCCCTATCATTTCATCATACAATTGGAAAGCTTCCTCTGTCCTCCCTGCTTTCGACAGTCCCGAAATCAACGCCGTGTAGGACACTATTGTAGGGACCATACCCTTCGCGCCGATCTCTTTGAAGAGTCTCAGGGCATCGTCCACATTTCCGCGCATGCATTCCCCGTTGAGAAGCGAGGTGTATGCATAAACATCGGGAACAAGCCCCTCATTTACCATTTCGTCCCTCATCTTATACGCTTCGTTCATCATCCCGTTCTTGCAGTACCCATCTATAAGGGCATTGTATGTCACAACGTTGGGTTTCAGCCCTTTCTTTCCCATCTCGCGAAGAACCCTTTTCGCGTCCACAAGTTTTCCTTCTTTGCGATAGATATCAACCAAAGTTGTGTAAGTGATCACGTTCGGCTTCACGCCCTTTCCCTCCATTGAAAACAACCAATTCTTCGCTTCCTCGGACCGGTTTAGCTTACACAAACCGTTTGCTATTATATTGTACACGTACACGTCTGCTTTGAGTCCTTTCCCTTGCATGACTTCTAGAAGCTTCCAAGCTTCTTTGATCATTCCTTTCTTACAATACCCATCCATCATAGTGTTGCACATGATTTGGTTCATGCTTATCCCCTTGGCTTGCATCTCATCAAGCAAGATTTTCACACCTTCCATTTTCCCATTTTTGCACAAACCGTTTATGAGAGCACCGTACGTGTGGGCGTTCGGAACGAGGCCTCTCCCGACCAATTTGTCGAACACCAAAAAGGCCTTTTTAAGATTTCCCGCCCGGCTGTAACTGTTGATCATGGAGGTGTAGACATGAGCATCTGCTTCTATGTTTCTCTTTTCCATTTCTCCAAACAGTTCCTCTGCTTCTTCAAATCTTCTCAACTTTGAATAACCTTCTATTAGAACTGTGTAGCTTGTGGTATTCATCTGGATTCCTTCCTTCTTCATCTCATTTAAGATATCATTCACGGCGCCAAGATCCGAGTGCTTCACATATCCATTCAATAACGTGTTATAAGTATGTTCGTTAGGTTTCACGCCTCTGCGAATCATCATATCATGCAACAATCTTCTTGCTTCATCTACTCTTCCCATCTTACACAATCCATCAATTACCATAGTCGTTGAATAAACTGTGATCTTCACATTTGCATCCACCATATGCTGGAAAAACGCAAACAATAACTGGAATTGATTAGACCTTTTGGCTGCAAGCAAATAAGCCATGCAAGATTTGTCATGAATCTCATACTCATTGCTCTTCATGTAGTCAAAAACCTCAATGGCTTCCTTGAGCTTCATGTGATAGACATAAACCCTAAATAATGCATCCAGCAGCTTTACAACCATCTCGGGATTCTCCCTGTTGTTCTCCCTCGCTAAATCTGCTATCTCCGACACTTGGTTTTTACTAAGACTATCATCAACGGCAACCGAACTCAATATCTCCTTCCCTTGATCAAACATACTGGATCTGAACAGCCTCGTGACGAGAATAATGTGGCCTTGAAGATCAGGTTTGTTGAATGTCAATGAATTGGTGTTCTTTTTGAGGAGTTTGAAGAAGTTTAAGCAAGTACGGACGGGGATTTGAGGGTGGGAGAGAACAATTTGGGACACTTGGGGATTGATGTTGGAAATGAGAGACGGGCTGATATCCAGACCATTCTGGGTTGATTTTATTAGGGTTTGGGAAATGTAATTGGCGGTTTCTGCATCGGATTGTTTTAGGAAAACTTGTCTTGCAGTCTTGAATAATGTTTGAGCAGACATTTACTAAACTCTAAAAATTCTGTCTTCTGTCAAACCTAAAACGTTGTTCGAAGCAGGGAACATCATCAGCTAATGGTACTGATATTTCTCATACTGGGACAATAAATATTGATCTTTTACTCAAGTATGAAAACCAAAAAACACAAACCAGACTACTAGAGCATACAGAATTATGCATAAGTTCTTCACTTTGTAAAGGAGATGTTTTTGCAATTAAAACGAAAGAGAAAATTTTAAACCACCTTAAAGAGTAAGCACCACCAAAATTGTCCCATTTAACTAAATAAACATCTGGGACTCTAAATTTATGGTCTAACGCAAAACAAATTCCAAATTTACCCTCCACACAATGTGTCACATACTCACATATGGTGGTGCCACACAAAAGGTTCCAACGGTAAGGAACAACTCATGTTTCTATTCATGACCAGAATTCTATGTGGCCCAAAAATGAAAAGATTGTGTTTTTGAATTTGCAAACAATGTGGAGTCAAATGGATGTTTTAGGCTAACCACTAATGAATCAATAAAACAAGGTGGATTCTTTGTGTAGGTTCATACAAGAGCTAGGGCTACAGGAGAAAACACTAAAGGCAGTCTTAAAACTGTCAAAGACTACAACAAAAACGAATACATTTCTTCAATTATGCAAGAGAAAACACTAAAAATGAAGAAAATTTCAACATTTTCTTTAAAAAAAAGGCATAAATTTCTATATGTCAAAAACCCTGCGTTCATTTCGTCCAATTAGCAACAAAAAAAATGTGGATTTCGAAACGCTTGCTTGTTGATAAAAAGTTTACAAAACCCTAGAACCAATCAATGATCACAAACGCGATCAATTGCTGAGCAATCAAATTGCTCCGAGATATGGTTTACGACTCCTCTACACCTAAGAAATTCGCATACAGAGATTCGTCAGTTCGGATAACATAACTACAATCATTCACCAAACATTGGATGAAATAACTACAATCATTCACCAAAAATTGGAGAAGCATTGCCCTCAGAATAATACGAGAAGAAAAGAAAAGAAAACAAACTCACTGGAGATAGAGTTTTAATGGCGGACTGTGCAAAGAAGATCTTGTGTGTTGGGGAGAGACGGGTGAGAATGTAAGGGCTTGTTAAGAGACTCAAAATAGTCCCTCCTAAAACTTTCTCCTGTTGCTCAAAATGATGAAAAATCTCAAATTTTTTCAATCTATTTTCTTTAAATATTAGTATAGAAATAAAAAATTAAAACATACATATTTAAAAACTACATCAAAAGTTCAACAAAACAAGGGGTGACAAGAATATTTTATTTTATCATATAGGCTATGAAAAAACATAAATAAATATAAATTCTCGTGAAGTTGGAATAGTGCTATGAAAAGAAAGTTTTAGGGCGGAGGGAGTAATATTTAATACAATAGTAATTAGTTTTATTGAGTTTAGACTTCGGAAAGTGCTAGAGTCATAAACATATTACTTTGAAATTAGATAAAATTAAAAATAGTTCTAAATATAACTGTAATTGAATTGATTAAAAAATTTATTTTAATCATATCACAATTAACCAAATCAAGTGAAATGGACATGCCCTTGGTATCTATAAGTTTAGTTCAAATCATACGAAATATAAGAGCACAAATCAGTGGAATGTCACACGCTCACGTGAAGTATTTTAACCAATAAAAAAAGGCTAGTCAACATGTGGAAAATAAGTAGAGTGTCAAACTTTACAATTACAAGTCATTGTTTTAATTATCTTTTTATATTTTTTTTCCGTATTTTAATTAGTAAAAATCGTTATACTTATTTTATTTATCATAAAAATAATACTACTTACTCAAAAAATTAACAGATTTTTTTCCTTAAAAAATTTAAAAATAAAATAAAATGGGTGCAAGATTGTCACGCTTGTGACTCGCAAAGAAGGGTGAAATGCTCTATCCACGCATGGTAAGAGTGTCCTCCATGGTAATGTGGCAGCGAGACATCAACAAAGCATGAGAGGCTACACGTCGTTGCCCATGCTCTAAGATTAGCTAACAACAACAACAATAATATAATTGGATCTCATGTAAATGAGGTCTAGAAATATGTGTGTACGCAAACATTACTTCTATCTAAAGGAGAGAAATTGTCCTCAAGAGACCTCAACCCATGCTATACCAATAAAAGTATCACAAGAAACACAAAGAATAGAACCAACACAAACAAAAGCACGAAAAAAGCAATAAGCACACCACGACAACATAACAAACTATGAAGGAACAATATTACAAACAAAAGAACTAAACATACAAGTCAAACGAGGCACACAACAAGTACAGAACACTACCTCTAGCCCAATGTGTATATCCAACTACTTTAATCTTCAACGCTTTTATCTAAGGTCATATTCTCATTAAAGGTAAGAATTTTGAAGTCATGTCTAATCAGTTCCTTCTAATTCTTTCTAGGTTGATCCCTTCTCTTACTATCCCTCCAATGTAAGCATCTCGCATCTCCGCTCTTGGACGTGAGCATTCCACCATCTCATGTGCCAATACAAGCTCAACCTTGTTTTTCGCAGTTTATCTTCCACTGGAGTCATGCTTACCCGACCTCAGATAACCTTGTCTGGAATTCTATCCAATTTCGTCTGCCAACACATCCACCGTAACATCTCCATCTCCCGCACTTGGTGAACGTGGCTTTTCTTAAATCACCCAGCACTGTGCCTCACACAACATAGTTAGTTTAATTATGCCATGTTAGAACTTACATTTCGTGCTACCCAAAATCTTCCAATAACACAATACCTGTAAAGAGAACCTCCACTTAGCCCACGCTGCTCCAACATGATGTGCAACATTCCCATTCAACTCCGATTTTCTTGAATCACCGCGTCAAGATACCAAAAGTTGCCTACCTTTGACGTTAGGTGAGTGTTAATTCTAAGTTTTTGACTTTAATTTCACCCATATTCTATCTCTCGAGCACTAAAAAGACATTCCATGTATTCAGTGTTGGTCATATTCAGTATGAGTCCTTTAGATTTTAGGGGAAGGTGCCAAAGTTCCAACTCATCGTAGTCCCTCGCGACTTCGTTTATAAGAACAATATTATCTGCATAAAGCATGCACATGGGACCTCTCTTTAGACTCTTCGGTCAGGACGTCCATCACTAGATTGAACGAGAAAGGGTCGAGAGCAAACTATTGGCGCAATCCCACCTCACCTTGATAGTACTTACCCTACTTCTTGCTCTATCATACATACTCTTGACTTCACAGATGTATACAATGAGGACTTCTCTTACCTCAGGACACTTCCAAAAGTCCATATAGTAAGGACTAAGGTAAGTATTTAAGATAGAGTACTTATAGCTGAGTAATTATAATTTCAGTTGAATTAAATATGGTTCAGCTAAATTGAGTACTCTATTTAATCGTTTAAAAAAAGGTACTCTATTTAATTAAGCAAAGCTCAATTAAATGGGCCAGGCGGTCTGTTCATCTCGATTCACTACTTATAGGCCCATATAGCTGAGTCCGTCTCATATCTAATCAGCCCTAGATTTTGGCTTCTGGAACCTACTATACCCCCCCTCTGCTATCCCAATTTTCCCCCCTTCTCATTCCTCAACGCCGCAACACTCTCACAAGTCACGAGTGGAAAGCGTCTAAACCTCAGGCGTCGGATTGCCTGAACCCTTCCCGGCGGCGCCGCGTATCTACAGTAGACGACGCAGCGAGTCGTCTTCCAGCTATCTCCTTCACGGTAATTCATCCGATCGAGAGTCAAGGTCAGCCGTGTTCGTATTTGTGTGTTTAGGTTCATTGTCCCCGAATCGGATTTAAAAGGAAACGCATAGTTTCACATGATGGATTCGATTGTTTGTTGTATGCATGTTTGAATGTAATTAGATCGATGTGTAATTGCTAGATGATCATTATTATATACGCCTGTTGTCGATATGTGGAGAAGTATTTATCAGTTCATCTATTATGTACGCCGGATGTTTAAGTGTTAGATGATTATGTATGTTGGGATGTAATTAATCGATTGTTTGTTGGATCTACGTGTGAAAAGAATTGTTTTTTCTTTGTATTGCAGAATGGCTTTCTTTAGTAAAGCTGGGAACATACTCCGACAGACAATCAGCAAGACTCATATCAGCCATGAGATTCCTGCATCTACTCCTGCAGCTTTCCAGTTCTTGCGATTTATGTCTTCAAAAGTATTTGTGGGAGGTATGTGTTGTTCATATCCAGGATCAAGCGTGATTTATGTACAGTATGATATACAGGGTCGAGGATTCAAGGGTCCGGGCTAGATGAAAGAAAGGTCCTTAGGCCCTAACAAATTAAATTTTACTTGTATAAGCTAACTTTTTTAATGACAATTAACAGTATAATGATACGCACAACCAAACTATAGTATAAAAATGCATACTGTAATTTTAGATTTTGATATTGATTTGTTTGGTATTGTAGGTCTCCCTTGGAGTATAGATGATTCAAGTCTTGTGGATACTTTCTCTAAGTATGGAGAAGTTGTTGAAGGTATAATAATATCCTGCATTTTTCTTTAAAAGTTAGATGATATTGGTGGCATGTCATTTAAGTTATTGTCTGTAAAAGCAAGTTAGAAAAAAAATCATAGTTGGCAACTGGAAAAAATTATCTAGTATCTTGTAAGCGATAAGCATCCAAAAAGAACTGGTTGATGAATAATGATGTGCAATTTGGGTTACACAGCAATGACACACTATATTCATATGGCTTCTGTTCTTCCCCTCATTTCAACAATTTTAAAAATTTTATATTCTTACTATGCTCTCTGTGTTGAGTCATTATGTCTAGATGATATCTAGAAGCTTTTTTATAATAAATTTAATAGGAGTTACTTTTCTCTAGTGTGCCCTAATTGTATGCATGATTAGGGTTTGTTTTGTGATCTTATTGCACTTTAGTTTAACCTCTTGCTTTCAAGGATATTTTTGCAGACAACCATCTTATCATATGTTGGGAATCACTGTGCAAGAAATTATTCTTTATATTTATTAGGAGTATTTAATTTGTTGCAGCAAGAGTCATAACAGACAGAGATACAGGAAGATCCAGGGGCTTTGGATTTGTCACATATAGGACTGCGGAGGATGCTAGTTCTGCAATCCAGGCGTTGGATGGAAAGGTTCACCCCCACCCTGTGGTTTAATGTCAATATTTTGTAAGCCTTGTAATAGAAGTTTTGGAAGGAAAAAAATGAGGGAAAACAGTCTTTTTAATGTTCTGCTTCACTTTGGAAAGAAATGAGGGAAAACTGAATTTTAGGAAAAGTGAAGAGCCCTGCATTACATTAATATTTAGATTTCTTAGTCTTTATATGTCCAAGTCATCCAAACAAACAAATTTCAAAATGACCTAACACTGATCTATTTGCCTAGAACATATTCTAAACCTCTTCCAAAATTTTGTGTCCATTTTGCTTTTTTTTTTCTTTTAGAACATTTTTCGAGTTCCAAACAATTTAGGGAATGACCAATCTTACCTGAACACTCTTTTTTCAAACTGTTAATATCAGACGCTGGAGAACAGACAAATAAAGGTAAACTTGGCAAATGACAGGCCACGCACCTCTGGGGGCGGCAGTTATGGTGGAGGTGGTGGCGGTTATGGCGGTGGCGGTTATGGTGGTGGTGGTTACAGTGGTGGCGGTGGTTATGGCAGTGGCGATTACAGTGGCGGTGGCGGTGGCTATGGTGGTAATAGTGGTTATGGTGGCAGCAATGATGGAAACTTTGGAAACGAAAGTAGTGGGGGGAACTACAGTGGCAGTGTGGGTTATGGCAATGACAACTTTACTGGCGGCGGTGCCTCCTCGGACAGCCAGGGTTTCTCGAGCGGTCAGTTTGGGGAAGATGACCAGAATGATGACTTTGCCAAAAGAGCATAGGAAGGTGGTCAGTTGAAAAATAACTTCAATTCCTAGATTTATTGAAGAAGATGACATGACCTCTCTTTCACTCCCCTCTTGGTTTCTTAGTTCTGCCATTAGTGTTTCAAGTCTTCATCATTTCGTTATTGTTATTTATGACTACTATGTTTTGTTTGGCTCTTTGAATTATGTTTGAGGTTTTGAAAACTCAAATGTTTTTTGGTCCAATTATTTGGAGGCATTAAGTTTGCAACCTAGTTAAATTCTATAACAATGCATTTGACATGATCTACATCTTCTGCCATTTGTAAATTAATCTACTCCGTTTACCATGTCCTCTATGCTTTTGAATGTGTGCAATGACCATTCAAGTGTACCAAGATTGTCACAGATACATAGACATCATGACATCAATTGTCTGTTTGTGTTTGTGACAAGCTTGATGTATTTTTGGTGTACAAAAGTTGAGATATCTTTAGGTGTTTTTGTTTTCTACAAAAAATATTCAAACAAATGAAATTTTATACTTACTTTTCCCGTGTGTTGTTGATATATTTCAATTTTTTAAGGCAACAACTCAAATATCATTAATTCAAAAGAGCAACAACAAAGTCAGGACGGATGAAATTCCAAAAACCAACAACACACAATTCTGAAATTTTGAACAAAATAGAAGAGGGTATAAAGGAATACGTAGGGGGTTTTTGAAAAAATTAGAATGAATTAGAGAATTTTTGAAGTTACTCCATAAAAGATAGAACCCAAAAAACAAAGTCTTGGACGTTTTTAGATCAAAGTTTGCTTACAATTTATTATGTTATTGATATAAGACAATATTTTCTTTGAAATATGTTCTAGTTATAACATATCACACATAAGTAAATGTGGTTTTTGGATGAGATCAAATATCTAAAAATCTCAAATCACAAAATAGTTTTGAAAAAAGAGTAATATTTATATTATTGAGAACATTTATCAAACAATTAGGTTACTAAAAGATACGAGATTAGTTGTTGAAGACTTGTGCATAGTAGTATCATGGAACACAGTCAAGGTAAAGGTTTATACACTACGAATTAATTTGGTACCCATGATTGAGATTTATGCCTAAAGTTAAAAAAATTACAACAAATTTATTTTTTTGTTATTTTTAACCAAGTATTTCTTGACAGTCAATTTTATGTTTTTAGTTTTAAAGTGGTAGCAAACACAACTTCAAATTTATATAAAAAAAACGTTTCATTGCTAAATGTTTTATATTATTCATTCAAATTTTTATTTCGATGTCCATATATATTGTTATATAGAGTATATAAGAAAAATGTTTTATAATCTCCTTTAATATAATAAGTGAAAAATACTTAAATTGAAAATTTTGTTTCACCTCATGACTTTAGTTTCTTAACTTTGGTTAATTTGAATACCAAAATAGAGTAAAGCTGAATTGAGTGCTTTTTCAGGAGTCGCGGGAACTTTTGTTTTATTTCTACGTTTTCATTGGTTATTTGATAAAATAAAAAAATTGACACATCTTATTTCAAAGAACATTTCATTTAGTTTTTTGATATGTAAATTTTATTTTTTATTTCTGTACCAATATGTAAATAAAATGAATTGAAATAAATTGAAAAAAATAATTTTATACAAACATCAAAATAATCATAACCAAAATGAAATGAAGCAAAACCAAGCAAGCTAGCGCTGCAGCTCGGTTGGAGGAAAAGTAAGTCAATGTATGTAGACGTACACTATGTCTACATCCGTTCCCGTTTCTATGTATTCAAAACGTCATAATACTTCCTAAATGGAGTGCCGAGAGTACTTCATTACGTCATTTAGTTATTACTGCCTGGTCGTCCCTAAATAAATTCTCATTTGCTATTCCGCTAATCAACCATGATTCATTTTGTTTACTTATTTTTACGACCCATTTTGTGTCCAACAATAAATTTCTCAGCTACTATTACCGTCTCTCGATAACTTATGCTTGTTTGCATGTTTTCATCTATTATTTGGTAAAATAAAATATTTTGTCACATCTTGTTTTGTAAAACTTTTGATGTAGTTTTGAATGAAAAAATTTGTACTTTTTTTATGATATACCAATTTGCATTGTAAATAAAGTATTTTTTTTTTAAAAAAATAGATTTTGCACGTTATTCGAAATATGAAGTTTATTGTTGAACGGAAGAAGTATAAAATAATCATGTCACATCTAATTTTGTACCCGGAGTAGAATTTTTATGTAGTTTTTAAATATATATAAATTTTATTTTTTGAATATTGCAACTACAATAAAAAATGGAATTTGAAATTAAATAAAGTCAGTCAACATTTGTAATCCATAATGGATCATTCAAATTTAGACGGAGACAGTATATATATACATAGAGTAGCTCTGATATTATTGGTCAACCATGAAATCCACAATCGTAATATGTCCAGAGTTGAGTAGTGGTGGTACTATTTAGTGTTTCTTAGGATCATGATTAATTTTGTATTCCCTCCCTCCCAATTTTGATTACAAATTAAGATTTAAGAGGTAAAACTCTACAATTATTTAATTTACAAATTATTACTTCAAAAAAAAAATTATAGATCAAATAACTTCGTTAATAGTTTTACAAAATAAAAAGTGATAAAAATATTTTACTTTATCAAATAATCAATGAAAACATACAAATAAACAAAATTATCGAGATGCGAGGAAAAAAAAATTGTAATCAAAATTGGGATATGGCGATGGTGAGAGCATTGATTTTTTTGTATTTTTGCTCACCTCTACTTTATGGGGAATTTTACTCCTTTTTCTCTCAACTTTTACTTGTCCATGTACTCTTTTTACCTCGAGTCCCGGAGCCATCAACGGTGGTTAAATAAACCACGCACGCAAATACGCAAATTAAAAATTAAAATTCAATATATTTTTAAATATATAAACTTTATTTTTTGAACTTTGCAACTACAATAAAAATAGAATTGAAAATTAAAAATGTTTATAAGAAGTTTTGACTAGCTTATAAACACATAAAAAAAGACCAAAAAATATAGAGAATGAAGGTAGTATTTTATGCTCACATTTCCTATTTTCTCCACCATCCTCGATAAATTAGATACTTTTCAATAAATTAGATACTTTTCAATTCTCATAATCATAAAAAATGCTGACATAAAAGTAGTAGAAAAGAGGATTTATATTTTTATTTACAAATGTCACCACAAATATGACAACAGCACCCAAGGTGCTCAGTTCGAAGAATGATGGTTTCGATTAGAGCACTGTAAGTGCTGTTGTCATACTATGACAACAAAATTTGTTGTAAAAAAAGAGAGCCGTATATACCCAATGAAAAATACCATATTTTAAAACATCAATTTTTAAATATACTTTATATTTTTTATTAGAATTTATTGTTTGTGATTCAAGATAATTAGAAAAGACGTTTATAATCAGCGTCAACTTTTGGATAATTGTTTGGATACGAAACTCGTAATGACACATCTCATCCTACATTCCTATCCATGCATTTCTAATACAAATTTTCATCATCTCCGATGGGGCCAAGATTTCACCATATTTTGGCTTTGGGGTGTGATGGAATAAATCAAAATGCATTTCTAAACTGTCTGCGCTTCTTTAATTAATGAAGTAGCAGTTAGTCAAGCAATGCAACTTTCGACGTTGAGCCGGGGGTCTCTTTGTAAATAGCCTCTCTACTTTCGAGTAGGGGCAAGGTCTGCGTACACACACCCTCCTTAGACCTTACTCTTGTGGGATTTAGGTTGTTGTTGTTGTTGTTGTTGTTGTTGTTGCTTTTCTAATACAATTGGATTGTTTTCTCTCATTTTCTCACCAAAATATATGGTATTTTGTTTTTCTTCCTCTTAGTCACTTTGACTTCATTTACTTGTAACTACCTCCGTTCCTAAATAAATTTTCATTTACTATTCCACGAATCAGACATTATTATTCATTTTGTGTACTTGTTTTTGCGACCCATTTTGTAATACTTCCTCCGTCCAACAATAAACTTCTCAGCTACTGTTACGGCCTCTCGATAACTTATGCTTCTTTGCATGTTTTCATCAATTACTCCATCCGTCCTAGTGTATTTGTCCAGTTTGACTTTTCCGAGTCAAACTGGACAAACTTTGAACTTCAATTAAATAAAAAACGTAAACTATTTTAACATAAAAATGACTTTATTGGATTTATCATATTGAGAACTTTCAAATTTTATTTCATTATGTTAATATGCAATATAAATTGAGAGTAATTGGAGTTCAAAGTTTGTCCAGTTTGACTCAAAAAAGTCAAACTGGACAAATAAACTAGGACGGGGGTAGTACTCCCTCCGTCCCATTTTATAATGTATGTTTCGGTTTACGATGTTTGACTAAATTTATTTTGAAATCATTTTATGTGACAAATGGTATAAAGTTAAAAAATAAAAATTACATATTAAAGTACTACATCAAAAGATCTATAAAACTAGTAGTGACAATAATATTTTATTTTATCAAATTGCTAGCAAAAATAGAGAAAGAAAGTGAATGAAGTTTGACCCTGTGAATAGTGAACATGCATTATAATTTGGGACGGAGGGAGTATTTCATAAGATAAAATATTTTGTCACATCTTGTTTTGTATAACTTTTGATGTAGTTTTGAACAATAAAATTTGTACTTTTTTTATGATATACCAATTTGTAAATAAAGTAATTTTTAAAAAGATGAGGTTTTGCACGTTGTTCGAAATAGGAAGTTTATTGTTGAACGGATGAAGTATAAAATAATCATGTCACATCTAATTTTATACGCCGAAGTAGAATTTTTATGTAGTTTTTAAATATACTACTATCACACCCGTGCGTTGCACGGGTTGCAATTACGCTGTGAATTTACATTGGTATCATTATAAAAGAAAAAAAACAACATAGAATGAAATATAATATTTTTTTAGTATTGTAAAGTATCTATAAATTACAAATTTTGAAAAACCTCTTTATAAACTACATTAGTGGTACATTTTGTTGAGACATTCTCTGCGTTGCAAATAAGAATCTTCAGGCCATTACAATTTGTTACCCTTGAAACCGCAACATATAATTATCCATGACTAAATACGGGTTTCCGTAACAATAATCCCACATGTTTTAAAGATTGGCCTTGACTCTAATTAATTGTCATTGTATAAGAAGTAACCACGTGGAATTGTCTTATTTGAAACTTGAATGGTATTCTTGCTGTAGAAAGAATAATTTTCTTGATTGAATAAGTGGGAGTACATGTGTTTATATATACATGATATTCCTATTCCTATACAAGGTAGGAGATAATAATAGGAAACAATATATTTACATTAAATATAGAATATATTTAACATGCTCACGGCTACGTCGGGTGTGGAGGCGGTTGGACACCCAGACTTGACTTGAATTCGAGGAAGAGCAGGGAAGGCAGTCCCTTGGTGAATATGTCGGCATACTGAGAGGAGGAAGGCACGTGAAGAACTCTTATGTGGCCGAGTGCGACCTTATCACGCACAAAGTGGATGTCGACCTCAACGTGCTTGGTGCGCTGGTGCTGAAAAGTGGGCATGGGATCCTGAAATTGCAAGAAAGATGTTTGTGCTTGAAGATCTGCAGGAAGACCACGAAGCATTTGGAGAACAAGTTGGTGCTGGGAGACTGGTGCATCGAAATCGTCCATCCAGTCGGCCAGATTCTGCAATTGTTGGCAATAAGCCGCCATGGTGGAGTTGCCTTTGATGGTCGTGCGAAATTCATGCTCCAATTGCATGGCCCTGGCATGTTTGTTGTCGTGGAATAAGTCGTGAACGACTTTCCAGAGAGCAGAGGCAGTAGAAATAGAGGAGATTACCGGATCTGAGACCTCATCGGTGATGGTAGAGAGAATCCAACCCTGGAGGAGAGCGTCGAGTTGGAACCATTCATCGTCGTCATCGGAGAGGGGGACGACGGAGCCAGCGAGGTAACCCTGGAGGTTGAAGTGTCGAACAAGAAGGAGAAAAAGTCGGCTCCACTTTTTGTAGTTGGGTTGAGAGAGACTGAGTTGAACAGGAACATGGAGTTTCACATTAGATACTGTTGTGAAAGCAAGATGAGGAGGCTTGGGGGAGGTATTTTGAGAGGTGACTTCACTGGCTTCGGCCATGATTGTGAGAGAGGGGAGGGATGACTGCCGGCGAGAGGAAGAGACGGCGGCAGGAGGGGCTGCCGCTGGTGGGGCGGCTCGGGCCGAGAGAGGGAGAGAGGAGGGGAGAGAATTAGGGTTTTGGTATTTTAGGCTCCGATACCATGTAGAAAGATTAATTTCCTTGATTGAATAAGTGGGAGTACATGTGTTTATATATACATGGTATTCCTATTCCTATACAAGGTAGGAGATAATAATAAGAAACAATATATTTACATTAAATATAGAATATATCTAACACTTGCATCAGATGGTGTCACTGATAGTCTTGGAATAACAACTTCTTGACCCATGTGTCTTCCAGCTAAAATCTTTCCTTGGATCGAGTGATTAGCTAATCGAGTTACTATCAATCGAGTATCATTACACAAACCCATCGAATGATCAATGTTTCTTAGTAACATAATCGGGGTGCCTATCTTCAAAATGAGCTCATGATTTGGTACCCCGGAAGCACGAATCTTATTCAAGAACTCAGGAGGATGCAAGTCGTTAAAGAAATTCGAATTAGAATCCGAGTTCTCAACCTTGTCGGAACTAAGATAAGTGTGTGATTCCTCATTGGGATTCATCGATGTCATATATTCATTTATAGAATCGACGACATCCAACGTTGGAGCCAAAATTGCACGGTCCTGCAAATAGGTTGGATCATTTGCTATTTTATGAAAATCTGGATAGATGGAATTCACTATAGTAGCTATAGGATTTCCTGAGGATGAAAGCAACATGTCATCAGGTATTGTTACTTCTGCATAGCCATCATGCTCATCTCCCGCAACTCCATCGCCAATACTTGCAATCCATTCAGCGAATTCAACTAAATGATCGTAACTACTATCTCCAATCATTGATTGCAGTCACGTGTTTTTTGTTAAACGCAACACAGTGCAATCTTTCCAGATGCACGAAGAATTAATCGTGGAATTAACAATGTCTTGTCTGGTTCCTTTTGGTGGACTTGTCAATCATTCATTGAGTCCATCAATTACTTTATCTATATGATGAGCCCACAATGTACAATCTAGACGGTTTCCCCTGAACAAAGATTCATTAAAGTGATTAATAATAGAATGCTCTAAAAAAATTAACATCAAATATGATACATTTATGTTATGTATACCTATGGTCTTCCAATACAACCTCCATCATCCTCTCGGGGGCACATTTAACCATGCATTCTTCGGGCATGGTACGACTAACAACTTTTCCAATGACATCCGTGATTAAAATAAAAGTATATAATATATTTATTTAAAGTAATGTATACTCGACATATAAAATTTTTTGATATAAAATTATATAATTTACTCACCAATCAACAAAATGTCATCCACGCAAGGTAGTAACTTGATATCATCGAATGCCATGAATTTGTATCGAAAATTTGGAGAAAAGTCTGACGACAATTTTTGAATTTTGGTTTTTCCAAAAATACTATCATAAAAGGATGGGAGGTTGTCTTAGTGTTCTGGAAGTTGTGCTGAACTTTGAACCGGGTTAAACCATAAACTTGATTTTCTTCAATTTCCTTTTCGAAAATTTTGATATTCTGATCTTTTATCTGTGCATGGATCCGATTTCCCTATAAATCAAGATATAGTTATTTTTATTATAAAAATGATTTGTTTAATAAATAACAACGATTAAAAAATTCTAAAAAACCTGTTGATCATGAAAGACGACATCAAGAGATTCTGGTGTGCGATCATGCGTAGCAGTTCGATAAACTCTTACCGCTCGCACCTTTACCATAAACGGGCCTAAACAATCATCAATTTTGTCCAAAGTTGACCACACACACATTATAATATACGGTTTGTTTTAGAACTCGAGAAGAATATAGCGTTGTATTGTGGATTGTGGATCTCGTAAATGGGATCACAATTTATACGAAAATATTATTTTCGTAAAAGGAAACAAATGGTTAGCTTTCCTATTTTCGTAAAAGGAAATGAAATAAATATCCGAATTATTGCAAAATAAGTATAATTGGTAGCTTTCCTTTTTTCCTCCAAATCAAGCTATAAAATATACGAATTTTATACTGTGTATAATGAAACTATCTAATTATAATATTGTATACATGTGTTTCCTTTTAAAGCCTTTTTATGCGATATATTTAATACGTATGAATTATCTTACAATATTGTATAAATGTGTTTCCAAATAATTAATACTTTTTTTCGTTACAAATTATTAATTATTTTAATTTTTTTCGTTACAAATAATTAATTATTTTTTACCAAGGCATCTAACACGTTAAATCTAAATTATTAATAATTTCTGTTTTATACTGTTTATTTATTAAATATACTTGAATTCTTTTTTTAATGTAACCAATCATATCCGCGGGAATAAATTAATTTTTTTCGTTACAAATTATTAATTAGTAATTTAGACATAAAATTGTGCAATTATGTTAATATCGTATATAAATGTGATTCCTTTTATCATATATAAATGTGATTCCTATTTTCGTAAAAGGAAACGAAATAAATATACGAATTATTGAAAAATAAGTATAATTGGTAGCTTTCCTTTTTTCCTCCAAATCAAGTAATAAATATACAAATTTTATACTATGTATTTATTTAATATATACCGATTTCCTTTTTTGCAATCACTTAACTCCTTAAATACCTTTCTTTTGTTTCCCTTTTTAAGAATACGGTACTTATGCATTCCAAAAAATGAACTATCTAATTACGGAGTATAATATTGTATAAATGTGTTTCCAAATAATTAATACTTTTTTTTGTTACAAATTATTAATTATTTTCATTTTTTTCGTTACAAATTATTAATTATTTTTTACCAAGGCATCTAAGACATTAAATCTAAATTATTAATAATTTCCGTTTTATACTGTTTATTTATTAAATATACTCGGATTCTTTTTTTAATGTAACCAATCATTTCCGTGGGAATAAATTAATTTTTTTCGTTACAAATTATTAATTAGTAATTTAGATATAAAATTGTTATGTTAATATCGTATATAAATGTGATTCCTTTTATCGTATATAAATGTGATTCCTATTTTCGTAAAAGGAAACGAAATAAATATACTAATTATTGCAAAATAAGTATAATTGTAGCTTTCCTTTTTTCCTCCAAATCCAGTAATAAATATACGAATTTTATACTGTGTATTTATTTAATATATACCAATTTCTTTTATACTGTTTCCCTTTTTAAGAATACGGTACTTATGCATTCCAAAAAATGAACTATCTAATTATAATATTGTATACATGTGTTTCCAAATAATTAATACTTTTTTTCGTTACAAATTATTAATTAGTAATTTAGATATAAAATTGTTATGTTAATATCGTATATAAATGTGATTCCTTTTAAAGCTTTTTTTGCGGTACTTATTTAATACTTATTTCCTTTTTTTCTCCTTTTCATCCGCTGTAAATATGGGCCGTAGATGCATAGATTGGCAAATATCAATGGCTCATAAGGCTTGGCAAATGGGCGGGAAAAAGCATGGGGCATAATTCCCCTGCTTTTAAGAATACTAGTACTTTGACCCGTGCCACGCACGGGGTCGAACAAATATTTTTCCGAAACTAAATTTTTTCCAATGTAATATTTTTATGGAATACATAAAATATATTTGTAGCATTATTTTTAATACTATGGACACAAAATCCAAAGTAGAATAAATAATATTTGAGAAATTAAAAGTGTAATCGATAAAGTCTTTTTTTTGAAGGCGATAAAGTCTTTTTTAATTTCAAATTTTTTGGAAGACTTCAAGGTATACAATATTTTGTTACGGTTGCAAGGATTTCTATTACCTTCTATAAACAATATTTCTAATCTTATCTTTGTCTTCACTTGTAAAACAACAACATAAAGTTCATCGTGACTTTGGTAGGTGAGATTAGTTTTATATGATATTTTTTTCAATCCCCATTTTAATTAAATTTACTTAATTAGCCTTTTTCCGAAATATTCACCCTGTTTATCCTTTTGTAGTTAAATTGAACAAATTTGATCATCGGTTAAAGGAAAATTATATTATATATTAGAGAAAAATTATTTGTTAAAGAAAACTTTCATCCTTCATCAAAGTGTATTTAGTTATAATTTAAATTTGGTTTCATCTTAAAATTATTGTATCAAACTCTCAATTTTTTACAACATTTAATTACATATACATTATTTTATTTGTCATCAAGAAATTGCATAGTTTGCCCCAAAAAATTAAATTGTGACAATATATTTGCATTGGAGGGCGTGCTATTTCATATTATTTTTAAACTTCTGTTTTGTACAGAGTATATTACACTTGGTGATTCTCTTATATGTATAGAAAAATTCAAAATTGTCAATTGAAATTTTTGAATACCCAATACACGAATACAAAGAAGCATTAGAGCACCAAAATAACAATCGAAAGAAAATTTTTTTATCAACACTATATAATGCAATATTTTAATTAGTAATGGACAATCTTAATAAGAATTCATTAATTGTTACTTCATTAAATAAAGAAATACCCCATACACAAATACAAAGAAGCATTACAGCACCAAAATAATAATCAAAGAAATTTTTTCATTAACACTATATAATGGTAAGTTCAATATTTTAAGTATTAGTTGACAAACTTAATAAAAATGTGTTCATTGGTACTTCATTAAATAGAGAAATACCTCATACACGAATACAAAGAAGCATTAGAGCACCAAAGTAACAATCAAAAGAACCCACACAGTTGAAACTATCAGAGTGAATTTAAAATTTAAAAGAGATATTTGTTATTTCATATTTAAGAGTTCAACAAATAAACCACATTTCACTTTTATTACGGATAAAAGTCATTTTGGAGTACTTGAGGTATCTTAGATGAGGTAGCAATATTTTATGTGATACACAAAAAGTAAAATTGGAACTATTTTTTCCGAATAAAGAGTATTTATTACGGAGTATTACCATTACTATACTTATCATTATTATTGTCATTGCTATTATTTTTATTTTATAATTTTAGTATTGTGATTATTACTCCGTATTACATTATAATCAACACCCCATTGTAAAAAAAATAAAAAAATTGATGTAATATCACATAACTGAAGATCGCAAGACATGAAACAGTGAACTGAAAACAATGTGTTGCATTTATTCAATTTTACTCGAAACATCTCTATCACAAGCACTACAAAGTATTCGTAGTTAGACTAAGTAGATATTTGGCATAGATTGAGTGTAAGGAATCTCATGTTCTGTAAAACATATTGTGCAGAATATATAGGGCATTTACAAAAAATTACTTCGTACAATTTAGAGCTTTTGTTAATGAAACAACTTTCATTAGAAATAAGATCAAATCAAGCATGTAATGCAAACAATCCATATTTCCCCTTGCAAAACAAAGAAGCCAGAAGTTCAGTGATAGTGACAAATACACCCTAAATTGTTGAAGATCTTCCATATCATTTGATTTCTTTAAGTTTGGCATTATGCAGACCTGCAGGTAAATGACATTATAAAATAAAAATTCTTGGTATGCTTTGAACAATTGTACACAGATGAGACAATATGAAGATAACTTGTCAAAGTCATCAATACCGTCATGGTAGTTAAGCTTACACATAGCACCCTCCAGTTTGCAAATTTTCCCTCCTTCCTCATGCTCAATTTCATTAGACATTTGAGTTAACCATTTCTCCAAAAAAAACTGGAACTCTGATGCACCTGTTACCAACTTTGGATCCCCAGTAATTTAAGATAAATAACAATCATTGGTTACCTAGCTGTCCTCATAGCATTCAAATTTTAGGACATAAACATAATTTCATAGTAAGAGCTTTGTGATAGAATGCAGCACAAGGAGAAATACTTCACTTTTAATTGAAAAAAGGTTAAGCAAATAAAACCCAGTAGAATCCCAAAAAAGCAGAATTTAAGGAGGTGCATGCAATGCAGATCTCACCCCTACTAAAAATAGAAAGGCTGTGTATAGAGAAATATCCCATAAAAGTGTTAAGCAAGCAAACAAATTACAACTATCCTAACTCAAATATTTTATAGTTTGAGAAGGATTATACATAGTAGAAAAGTTCAGCTCTCCCACACGCTTAGACGACTGTCTAGCCTCAATGAACCATCTCTTTTATATAATCCAACAACAACAACAACAACAACCCACTTAAATCCCACAAGAGTAGGGTCTGGGGAGGGTGTGTGTACGCAGAACTTGCCCCTACTTGAAAGTAGAGAGGCTGTTTCCAAAGAGACCCCCGGCTCAACGTCGAAAGTTGCATTGCTTGACTAACTGCTACTTCATTAATTAAAGAAGCGCAGACAGTTTAGAGATCCATTTTGATTTATTCCATCACACCCCAAAGCCAAAAAATGGTGAAATTTTGGCTCCATCGGAGATGATGGAAAAATTTTAGAGCATTGGATGAACAGAATGTCAAGGAGCAATCAATGGCTAGAACTTCAATGTGCAAGGGGTGCAACACCATAGGCCGCAAACTCTTCAGCGTCTTGGAAATCAAACGAACTCTAATGGGTGATTCAGAATATTTCTTTTCGGCCGATGTCAAAAAAATTTTGAAGTCATCAACTTGAATGAAAATATATATGTGCAGGGGATTGTTCTATCCGCATGGAAAAATAATGAGTAGAATAAAAAGAAAAACAAACTCAGTTCCTTAAGACAAAATCAGAGGAAAGAACTCTCTAACGAAACAACATATTTGCCTTGTGTCTGACAACAGCAACACAAACTATCATTTTTATTATCCGTTCATTTCTCCCAAATGAAGTATCAAACTGCATAGATAAACAATAAATAGATAAACAAACTTAGTTCCTTAAGACCATATCAAATTAAACTCAGCTAAAAGTTGGCTCGAACTTATGATACGGGGTGTTTGTCGTTGCCTATCAACTTGCTAATCCTAAAAAGTTCATTAAATAAAAGAGATGTGGTCCCAGTAGATATTTTCAAAACTTAAATTCATACAATTGTATATGAAATATCCTCTGTTTGTTGAAAAATCCAGGATGATCACTCACTATAAATAGATATTGTGGAGATATAGTCCGAGCAGAAGAACCCTTACTTGGCTCCTCCACTCCTTCATTGTCATTGACATTTGTTCATCCTTGAATTGTACCATTGATTGCTCCTTGACATTCTGTTCATCCAATGTGACAACATTTCAAAATAAAATTGAATAAAATTAAAAATGAAGAAGAAAAAATATAAATCCAAATGAAAAAGAAGTTTATTGGGTATTTATGATACCAAGATAATAGTTATGATACAGAACATACACGTGTTGTAAAGAAATTCCAAAAGACAAATAAAAATTAAAAAACAGTCACAACCCAATAACCATGCCTCGCCCAGTTTCTGGAATCAATAGTAGACTGTAGACAGGTCCCAAATTGGGCAAAGATTAAGCTACAGCTACCATAAATCTTCAAGAATAATAATTTGCAAATCAAACATATTAATGCATCAATCTATGATTTTTTTTTCTTTCGAAATGGAGTTTAAAGTTGATAAAAAATACAGAGAAGAACTTTTAAAAGTAATTTTTTCCTTGCTAAAAAAGACTAACCTCTTATTAGCGTCTAAAATATTACTATAAATAATACTCTGTATGAAACTCATTGTACAAAGTGTGAGGAAACGTTGTACTACACCCGTCGTAGATAAAAAAAAGTCTCAAATACCCTTGTTTCTAAATTTCACAAAGAATCATATCCTACCCCTTAGCCTCTTTACCGCTGCTTGACGCTATCTTCAATTTGAATGAACCCATTCAATTCACCCATTCCAATCGCAAATCGATGTTCATCCGCGTTGGTTTTCTAACCTAGAATTCGCCTCACCCTAAGGTCTCCTATTTTTCTCTTGAGTACTTGAGAGACATTAGGGTGCGGTGAATTCCAGGTCAAAAAACCAACCAAGATTTAGATGAAGTGGAAGCAGGTGAAGAGCCATAAGCGAGGTCTACCCATGCCCCCTCCTAATGTCTCCTACCTTACAACAACAATTCAACACACGCTTTTAAATCATCGACGCAAACAGTAAAAAAAGATATAATCAAAATATGAACATCAATATGCAACTCATGTCTTCATTTGTTGTGTATCCTGCATTACTTAGAAATGCTTACATCTAGAAATTCTAAAATACTTATTAGGCACAATGGTAATAAAGCTTCTAAAAGGACACTATGGTTCCGTTTTTGGTGCCACCTGCTTTTGATTATAACCTTCATGTAGATAGTGCAAAAAGTTCTTTTCACATGTTCAGTAGCCAAACAATAAATGACCTTACACAACCGAAACCTGACAAAATTAGCCCTGTTGCTACAATAAGCAAAGAGGGGAGGGATGGGGGAAGGGGGAGTCTAATGCCACCTATCTAAAAAGGGTTGAAGATTTGCAGCAGATGGGTGTATGATTCTTGATAAAAATCCAAATATGAAATGAAAAAAGTAAAGTGATAGGATTCATCTCCAAGAAATACTGATTACTATGCAGAACTCTAGAAATATAAAGTCAATGGTAAAAGTTCTTGGAAACAGTAAACATCAGACCATTGCAAATCAAAACACAAAGACAAAAGCAATCACCGTTACATACTTACATCGTTTCCTCCTCGACGACGGCCTCCTATTTCCTTGTTGACGGCGGCCTCCTCCCGCTACTATTTCCGGCGATAACAATTCTTTTTCTTCTCGACGGCGGCCTCCTCCTGATTCTATTTCCTAGGATTCCTATGTAAAGAGAAATCTTGGAAAAGTACTGTTCTTTGGTTACGAAAATTCTAGATCTGAAAGAGGTCGTGGTTTCCAGCGAGACAGTGAACTGGAGATTGCCTTTAGAGGCTTGATTCCTTTCCTTCGGTGAAGAAATTAATCGGAAAATCAGTGTATTTTTGGAGATAAATCAGGGATGAAGATACGGTGGAGATATAGCCCTGGGTATGCGAAGAAGACGGAATTGATTTTCTTGGGGAAAGTCTTCCGTAGTAAGAGCCATAAGCAGGACAGGTGGAAACTGACGTGTCATTAAAATAAAGCTGTTAAAGTGCCACGTGTCAAAATTCTAGGCTATCAACTCTCAAATATCATATTAAAGGATGTTGATGTTGATGATATATATTTATTTAGGGGCTGTTTGTTTCAGCCTCTTAATGGTTCAGATGTCTGAATGGTTAAGAGATTTGCCTCTGAATGGTTAAGTATTATACAGAGTCTGAATGGTTAAGAGCTGTTATCTGAATTGATCAGACATTTGCCTCTGAATAGTTAAGCAATATACTAGCTCTTAATGGTTCAGACCTCTTACTGGTTCAGCACTTAATGATTCAGACCTCTTACTGGTTCAGCACTTACCCATTCAGAAGTTGCCAAACAGCCCCTTAGTGTTTCTCAGGATCATGATTAATGTTTTATTTAGTGTTTCTCAGGATCATGATTAATATTTTATTCCCTCCCTCCCAATTTTGATTACAAATTAGGATTTACGAGGTAAAATTTTACAATTTTTGAAATCATTTTATTTACAAATTATTATTTCAAAAAAAAAAATATAGATCAAAAAACTTTGTCAATAGTTTTACAAAATAAGAGGTGACAAGAATATTTTATTTTATCAAATAATCAATGAAAACATACAAATAAACAACAATTATCGAGAGACGAGAGAAAAAAAGATTGTAATCAAAATTGGGATGGTGAGAGTATTTATTTTTTGTATTTTTTCTCACCTCTACTTTATGGGGAATTTTACTCCTTTTTCTCTCAACTTTTACTTGTCCATGTACTCTTTTTACCTTGAGTCCCGGAGCCATCAACGGTGGTTAAATAAACCACGCACACAAATACGCAAATTAAAAATTAAAATTCAATGTATTTTTAAAAATATAAATTTTATTTTTTGAACTTTGCAACTACAATTAAAATGGAATTGAAAATTAAAAGTGTTTATAAAAAGTTTTGACCATCTTATAAGCATATAAAAATACCAAAAAATATAGAGAACGAAGGTAGTATTTTATGCTCACATTTCCTATTTTCTCCATCATCCTTGATAAATTAGATACTTTTCAATTTTCATAATCATAAAGAAATGCAGAGATAAAAGTAGTAGAAAAGAAGATTTATATTTTTATTTACAAATGTCACCACAAATATGACAACAGCACCCACGGTGCTCAGTTCGAAGAATGATGGCCTACCCTCCTAAACTCCCTTGTCTCCTTCCTAAAATGTCAAAATGCTACAATATTATTGTAGCATTTCGATATTTTGCAGAGTGGCAGGAGAAATACCGAAATGTTACAGTATTATTGTAGCACTTTAGTGTTTTGGGGCGGAGGCATGGGGTGCGGGGTTGGGGTGTAGTGGAGGTAGGAATAATTGATTTTTCGATTAGAGCAGTGTACGTGTTGTTGTCATACTATGACAACAAAATTTGTTGTAAAAAAAGAGAGCCATATATACCCAATGAAAAACGCCATATTTTACAAAATCAAATTTTAAATATACTTTATATTTTTTATTAGAATTTATTGTTTGTGATTCGAGATAATTAGAAACAACCTAATTTGATAAGGAAGATATTTGGTAACAACGTTTATGATCAGCGTCAACTTTTGGATAATTTTTTTGGATACGGATCTCGTAATTACACATCTGATCTGATTAATATCTGCTTACATTCCTATCCACGCATTTCCAATACATTTGGGTTGTTTTCTCTCATTTTCTCAGGTATTTTGTTTTTCCTCCTCCTAGTCACTTTGATTTATCAATTTTTATTCTTTCACTTTCATTTTCTTTTCACCTCTAATCAAACAATTTAATTGATTTCGATCTCATTAATACTCTAATAACCGAGCGATTAAATATTTTTTACTCTGGAGTACATTGTTACTCCTTGTTACCAACTAAGTTAAACACGTGACATTATAAATGTTGAGTGCGCAGTTATCAAATATGACTCGCGCAATTATTTTCGATTTGATTAAACCTCATTTTTGGGGGGACGGGGTGTAAATATGTCATACGGCTTACTGCTTGCTTGTGACCTGGACGGTGGTGGGAGGACGGCATATGCCCTCACAAATTCTTTGTAATAAGGCAGTTTTTGTTTTTAAATTTTATGTATATATGACACCAACAAAATAAGGCAACTTTTTTAATGTGACCCCATGTAATTAGACCAAATTTAACTTTTAATTTGAATAATTTTTTTTGTAAAGCGTGTTACATTGGATATGATTAACTCTTTATGAAATAAAATTTCACATTACCTATTAAAAAATGTTTTACATTCAATAAAGTTTGAAATAAAATTCATTATTTTTTGTCATTTCAAAAATAACGGGGCGCTGGCCTCGGACCCCGACCAATGGTGCCCCCATGTAGTTGAATTTTTGGATCTGCCACTGGCTATAGAGAATACAAATCTGGTTTGATTTCTAATCGAGTACAGCGACTTCAGTCTCAATTTTTTTTAGCACACGCTTTTTCATCTTTGAGCATAGTTTTTCAAATAGCCAGACTTTGCGCCTTGAAACTAAAGCTCAGTTCCAAGATTGGACGGAGAGGGAAATATACTAAACATAGAGTTTCTGCAAGTCTTTACGTAGTGTAGACTTCACTCTTCACCATTAATCTACCATCAATGGCGATGGGGCTCACCCTTTTGAAAAATAAATTAGTGCAGTTCAATTTAATTTGGTAAAGTGAGCCATAAATTGTCTACGTGTGAAAGTGCTCCACAAATGTCCTCCTCCCCTACAGCTACAAGATTTCCTAACACACGCCACGTCCTCTCTGTCGCTGCTCCGCACTTTCTCCAGTGGAAACCCTCAAAGCGAGAATTCAGTCCATGAATTGTTGAGTGAGGAATCTCCATCAACAAACACAGTTGATTCGGAAAGCCTGAAGTTCAAGCTTCAATTCCACAGAAGAGGTTAGCGATGGAGGATGGCGGAACTGCTAGCAATGTGGCTGCTGCCATTTCCGCTGCTCTCGACTGGAACTCTTCTCCCGATTCCCGTAAAGCTGCCTACGATTACATCGAATCAGTGAGTTATTTATTTGTTTTTTCTTCTGCTTTTCCGCTGGAGTTGGGAATGATAATTGACATTTTTGATTTCTTAGTCCGCCCTTGTCAGGCTTGTTGATGAAAGACTGAGATTCTGCAAAATATTGATCCTTATTTGCGAGCACATAGTTAAGGAGTGTGCATCTTTTTAGATTAATTAAGGGTTTTATCACTTTTTACTGCAACGTAATTTAACATTTTGGTAGCAGATCAATTTTTTCCCCAATATGATCTTGGAAATTGGAATAATCGATTGATGTTTTTAGCCAAAGCTTGGAACTTATGAATTATGATTGGGTAAGTTATTGGAATAGAGCTTTGCATGTTTTGGTCACTCTGAAGTTTCCATGTTTGTATAGTTTTAATTTTACAACAACTATAACATTACCCCACAGCCCATTGCGGGGTAACGGGGGGTCAGATGCACGACCACTATGTTTAAAACATAGAGAAATTATTTCCAGATAACCCATGATGAGAGTCGAAAGTTGCATTAACTAACTGCTACTCCGTACTTCACTATAGAAAGAAGCACAGACTAGTTTAAAGAGCCATTTTGCTTCACTATTAAGTTTGTTGGAAGGAAAAGAAATTGCATTTGTTATGGTTTTTTTGGGAGGAGAGGGGGTGGGATGAGGTAAGTATCACATTAGTTTAAACTTTTTAGGCCAGTGCTCCATGGTGGGCTTTTGTTTTGGCTAATTTTATAAAACTTTATATTAACCATGCGATTTAAGTATTTTAAGTATATGATTATCTTTTCTACCTTTACTTTTTAGTGGATTTAAAACTAGTGTTAATCTTAAAGTGTTATTCATTACTTCTAAGATGAATGCTAAGGCTTGCTTTTTTGAGTTGTGGATGAAACTGGAATGAGTTGAAACTAACAAGGAGAAGTTAGAAAAACGGGAAAGAGCCTGAAGAAACTAGAACGAGTTAGAAAAAATCAAAAAAAATCAAAAGGAACTAAATTAAATATTATATTTTTAATTTTCTTAATTTTTATTAACATAGTTCATACTCCATCTCTTTTACTCTTTTGTCTTTTTATTTATATTTTTCATATATTTCATTGTTTTGTCTCAGATTATTTTCCTTATTTTGTGCGACTCACACTCATGTTTACTTTTTCTTACTTTTTAACATCAATATCAAACACACAATTTTACATTTTTTAATTTTCATATCACTAACCTTACCTTAAAAAAGTTGGACAAAAGAATCAATTTTTTATTAATACTAATAGAAAATAACATCTATAAAAATTGTTATACTCCTCTGTCCTGGAGTATTCATCTAGTGTGACTTTTTTGAGTTAAACTGAGATATTATATTTAGTGTATTAATATGTACTCCGTAACAAAAATTTATTTTAATTGATTACTCTGTATTAAATTTTGTCCATTTTAAGTAAAAAAACTCAAGCCGGACACATACTTTGGGATAGATGGAATACATTGTTTTATTTATTTTAATTTATATTATTGTAATTAATAAAAAAAATTCATATAAAAATAAATAATATGATCATTTTTAACATTATATTCTTCTGGAAGTTACACACCATTTTGTTCATTCACATTCAACTAGATTGCAAAACATTATAAGCTACTCCATCACTAAGTTTCTTCATTGCGTGTATAGTTTGCCCATCTAACAATATTACAGTGGGTTTTGCTCACATTGTTGGCAAATTCAATGAAATTTATTTCCCTTTTTGATGAAGGAAAACAAATTTTGTCTTAGGGATAGAGGGCATACATTTCAATTCCTAGTTGGAAGGAATTAGAAAAGGTTGTAAGAACTAAAAGAAGTTAGAAGAAATCAGTAAGAGTGGAAAAAAGACTGGAAGGAGTTGGAAAAAACTAGAATGTGTTTAAAGAAACTGAAAGAAGTTGATAATAGTTGGAAATTAGGAGTTACATTTCAAATGAAGAGAGCCTAATTAGTGTTTTTTATGTATAAATAAATGTCAACTAAAGTGGCATTCTCAGTTCAGTGTATACAATTTCACGAAAATGTGTTATAAACTTGTTCATTGATATGTATCAATCATCCTAACTCCAATTTTACCATCTGAACAATTTTCAAGGTCAAAGCAGGCGATGTACGTGTCGTGGCAAGTACATTATTTCTTTTGGTGAGGAAAGACTGGTCTTCCACGATTCGACTGCAAGCGTTTAAGATGCTCCAGGTCTGTTTAGGTTAAATATGCACACGATGTTGTCACTTATTCACTGTGATTATTTTGGTCTCTGTAGAAAATTACTACTCTGTATATGCCATCATATTCCCAAGTCGTGAGTTTCCTAACATAATTTCCATGAATAAATTCCAAGTGATAATCTAGCTAGATGAGCAGAAAACATGTCTTCCATCCCCATCGGTGATGATTTTTGTGTGATGGATATCACAAAGAAAATATGCAACAGAAGAATGGCAGCTACTATTAAGATTCAGATCCTGAATTTGAAAATTTGGTGCTAACAATGACCTCATAGATAAATCTAGGGAGGTGAGCTGCCATGTCTGAAAAGTGGGTGAATAATTTCTCTTTGATAGTGGTTAGTCATTTAGTCAACTTTTTTTGGGGGGTTTGAGCTATTCAAAGTAGTTTCACATTGTCTAGTTTTGTTTCAATTGGCATATTAGGTATATTTTTCCAGTACATTTCTATGCAATTACTTGCATCTCTGTTGGAGCGATTTAGCTTACCATCTTTACCTATCCAAGAAAAAAGCTTACACATCCCTTTAAATATCTAGAAAATTGTTCTCAAGTTCATGATACTTCCACCTTCATACATGAATAGAGAATAAAGAAACCATGACATGAGTCTGTATGGCTCTATTGCTCCTTTACATGTATTGCCCTTCCTTTCAATGAACCCTTAACTTTTCATCTTATTCACAGAATCTTGTGCGGTTACGATGGAATGAATTCAACCCCACTGAGCGAAGGAATTTTGCAAATATGTCTGTGGATCTAATGTCAGACATTGCAAATCCTTGTGAAGAGTGGGCCGTGAAAAGCCAAACTGCTGCCCTTGTTGCTGAGGTTGTTTCTCCTCATCCTTTTCTTTTGTTTGTTAGGGTAAGTGATTTTATAGTTCTGGCATCTTTATGTTACTTCATTACAGATATTAAGAAGGGAAGGCTTAATTTTATGGAGGGAGCTCTTTCCATCACTACTATCTTTTTCAAACAAGGGTCCTGTACAAGTAATTTCTATCTTTTCTAGTTTGAAATTCTTTATTTATAATCTGCATTTGCCTGAATTGAGATTCACATAGTGATGCCTTTTCGCTTAATTCCAGGCAGAGTTGGTTTCAATGATGCTAAGGTGGCTTCCAGAAGATATTACTATTCACAATGAAGATTTGGAAGGTGCATTTATCTACTTCGGTTCCTTGTATGCTCTGTTCAGCATCATAGTGAAATGGGGCACACAGTTTGCAATGACAAATATCTTGAAGTTTCATATTTGCATATTAAGTTATGATATTTTAACTAAATTTTTCCCATACAACAAAAATTATAATTAAAATCCTACAAGTGAGACCTCATAGGGTAGGATGTACACCGACCTTACCTCTACGGGTGAGGGGTGGGGATGTTTCCAACAGACCCTCTGCTCACAATGAAGTGAATGATCAAAAGCAAAGTAGGTCAGCAAGATAGTAAACCAATAACATAAAAAAAGCAAGCAACATAATTGTATGTACTACAAATTGATCATCAGATTCCAGTATACACAAAAGAAAAGTTAAAAAAACAAACAAAAAATGTCTACATAACTACATTTCCTTTAAGAAACCTACTAAACATGCGAAAAATGAAATGGAGGGGTAACTACCTCACAAACAAGAGGCACAAAGACTAAACAACCTACTACCCTTTTACTCAACCCTCAACCACCAAATAAGTAGGGTCATGTACTTGATCATCTTCAGTTTAGCCATATCTTGTTTAATAAACCTTCCTTAGTTCTTTTTCCATCTACCTCTACTTATCTTAGCTCCCCTGATCGTTAATCTTTCCCGCCTCCTAACGTGCACATTCTCACCACTCCTCTTCACATGATCGGACTATCCTAACCTCGCTTCTGTCATCTTGTTCGCCATAGAGCCACTTCAACTTTGTCTCGTATAACTTCATATGTTATCATATCTCGCATTGTATGACTGCAAATCCATTTAAGCGTTTTCATTTCTGGCACCTTTATCTTCTGAACATGAGCATACTGTGCTGGCAAACATCCCGTCCCACACAAAAATGTAGATTTAGATACCATTATTTATATCTTACTTTTGAGCCTGGGTGACATCGTAACACAAAGAACCCCAGAGGCGAGCCTCCACTTCATCCACTCTGCAGTGTTACTTCATTGTCAATCTCCTAGTTTTGTTGTATAACGGACCCAAAGTACATAAACTTTAGGGTTTAGGTATTGTCCGCTCTTCAATTTTTACTTACATATCCAACTTTTGCGTCTCATCACTTAATTTTCACTCCATGTACTTTGTCTTGGTCATGCTCCACATGAACCTTTTAGGGCCTATTTGATGAGCAAAACATATATTGTGTCTTATATCCAAGATGTGGAGTTCGTTTATCTCTAGAGTGTTTGGTGAAGCCTTTTAGGGTGTGGCCGTGATACCCCTGGTTATAAGAACCCTCGAAAAGAGGGCGTCTTGGTATCATCCAAATTGGGGGAGTTCAATATGAGGGAGCAATATTCCTCGCTACCGCTACCACCACAATCCCAACCACGGTCTGCTCCACCATCACCGTCCCCAACGGCTGCCACAACCATCGCTGTCTTTACTTAGAAAATTTGTATCATTTGTTTCCATTCCATTTTTCATCAAACACTTTTTTTCGAGGATCACTTTACAAACTTCCAATCTATCACTAACCCAATTTCGTCAATTTAAACTATGTCATCATCAACTAAAATACCCTGCAACATTCGTCCATCACTAAGGCAAATATGCCACGGCACATTTTGCCCATTATTTATTTATTTATTTATTTATTTATATTCAGGTGATAGGCGGCGAGAGTTGCTTCGGGGACTTACAGAATCTTTGCCTGAGATTTTTCCCTTATTGTACACTGTGAGTGACTGACTAGAACCAATTGTAGCCTGATGTTGGTGAGTTGGTCTTTCAGCGCTAATGTTTTCCCCTTTTTGGGTTATATCAGTTACTAGAAAGACACTTTGGAGCTGCACTAGCTGAAGTGGCAAGACAACAGTTAGACATTGCAAAATTGCATGCAGCAACAGTAACAGCTACCTTAAATGCTGTAAACTCGTATGCTGAATGGACTCCCTTGCCTGATTTGGAAAAGAATAGAATAATTTATGGGTACGCCTTCATCATTTTCTTTTTGTGGTGAATTGTGAAGCATAAAGAAATCATTGCTCACCTTTTTTCCAAACAGCTGTGGTTGCTTACTTTCTTCTCCTGACTTTCGTCTTCATGCAAGTGAGTTTTTCAAGCTTGTGTCCTCAAGGTATGCAATGTAGCTTGTGTGTCATTTTTCAGGAATATTATAGTTCCTGGAAACAATGCTATGAGAGGTTTGATAGTTAATTTTTATATGCAGGAAAAGACCTAGTGATGCTGGATCTGAGTTTGACAATGCAATATGCCAAATTTTTCAAATTTTGATGAGCATCTCAAGTGATTTGCTGCAGAAATATGGCACTGATGCCGTGATGGATGAGAATGAAGCTGAATTCGCTGAATGCATCTGTGAAAGTATGGTATCATTAGGCTCTTCAAACTTACAATATATCAGTGATAACACGACTGCTATATCATCGTACCTTCAACAGGTGATTATTCACACCCCATTTGTGTAAGAGTTTTAAGTTGGTGTCTTTGTTGGCTTAGTTGATGTGTATATTACACATACAAACTGCAGTGGCTTGACAGGCTATATTATCTTTGGAGTTGGAGACTTAAAATATTCATTGATACATCATACATGTGTAATAGCTGTTTTGCCATTTGGATTTCACATATTTAGTTGGCTCTTGACTTTTTGTTAGCACACATTCATTTTCTCTAAACATCACACACTCCCAACACCAAATTTTTCTTTGTTTAATGTTTAACTTCTGAAAAGTACATATGCGACTGCACATGTGCACATATGTATACTTTTTGCCCATTTTTATGCTGCTTTATTGGTGTAACTGACTAACCATTACAAATTATCTTGGATCATTGATATAATATCTTGCATATCTAGAATATTAAACGTTCAGTTGTTGGCCCTCAAAGAATTGATTTTCACATGTATTAGTAGGATTACATTTATGTCAGTTTGACCATAACTTTTAATGGGCACTTCTTTAATAATGGTTCAGATGCTTGGATTTTTTCAACACTATAAGCTTGGACTGCATTATCAGTCTCTTCTCTTTTGGCAAGTACGGATCTCAATACTCTTTTTCCCCTGGTTATTACGATAATTCAGTCATTCAATGTTCACCCTTCCTTATTGTTGTGTTTCCTTGCAATAATAGGCATTTATGAGAGATTTGATTTCCAAGCCAAAGATTGCATCTGGTGAAAGCTCTGTTAACAGCGCGGGGGCAGAGCATTCTGACACGGAAAAGAGAAAAACTTCTGTTTTTGTTAGTGATGAAATGTGTAGCTCTATATTGGATATATCTTTCCAACGGTTGCTGAAGAAGGAAAAAATCCATCCAGAAACTTCAGTTACTTTTAGGAAGTTAGAGTTATGGAATGATGATTTTGAGGGGAAAGGAGATTTCAACACATATCGTTCTAGGCTGGTATGTTTTATATGCACTAACAGATAGACACCGTTACCACCATTTCATCACAAAAAGAAAGGTTAAGTAAACCCAGAGAACAATCAAGTATAAAAAACAGCTGTCTACTATAGTCAATTTTCTTGGGAGTTACTGCTATGCTGTAAAACTTGTAGAAACCAAGCCCCACCCATACACACACCCCTGCATGGAATGCCCACTTAAATTCACTGCCACTAGACTATACATTTCTTTAATCTAGTCTGTTTCATATGTCTAACATGATACATTATAATATGGAGTATACTGGTTTTCAATGGGTACATCACACAGTTAAGTTTTCAATTGGTACATGCCCTATTTATTCTCTTGGTTGATCACCAATTCTTGATGCAGCAAGAGTTGATTCGTTTTGTTGCCACTGAAAAGCCTGTTATAGCTGCCACACTGGTTTCTCAGAAAATACTGACAGTTATTAAAACAATGCTGCTTATCTCCAAGCCTACACAGGTTGGTTTCAAATGGTTGATCATTGTTAACCAATAATGACAAGGACTGTGACTAATATTAATTTGTTTTGCGTTGTGCATGCTCTCTTGGCCAAATCTAATTTGTAATATTTTCATTTCCTTTTCAATATAGGAAATCCCTTTTCTTGAAAGCATGCGATTGGCTCTAGAAAGTGTTGTAAATGCAGTTTTTGACGGACAAAATGAATTTGGGAGAAGAAACTCAGAAGTTCAAATTTCATCATGCAGAACATTTGAAGGTTTTAAGTCACTTCCTCTAGGGCCATTGAAACATTTGTGACTTTTTTTGTGCTCATAGCTGGTTTACTGTCAACTGAAGGTCTACTTCAACAACTTCTTTCTTTGAAATGGGCTGAACCAGTGCTTGTCGAAGCCACTGGGCACTATTTAGATGCAATGGGACCCTTTTTGAAATACTATCCAGATGCAGTTGGGAGTGTCATAAATAAGCTGTTTGAGCTTCTTACCTCTCTGCCTGTTTTGAAGGTTTGCTTGAGTCTCTATCTATAAGTCTTCAACCCAAAATGGTTGTTGCTGATGACCAATTTTCTGGCAGGAACCTGCTACAAATAGCGCAAGGCATGCAAGATTGCAAATATGTACATCTTTTATTCGAATAGCCAGAGCAGCAGATCAGAGCATTCTGCCTCACATGAAGGTAATGATATTTTCTATCTTCTAATTTGCTGAAAGTAGCAATGCATAAAATCACTTCGTGTCTATAAAAAAATGAGCACACCGTCTATCTAGTGCCGAATCTGCCACAGATTGGCGGGCCCGGGGAAACAAATTTTCTTGGTAATCTTTCCCATTTTGCAAGGAGGATGATTTGAACCTGGACCTACAATGCTGTAGTGGATAGACTTCACCATCGGGTCATACTTTCCCTTCAAAATCACAAGTACTAACACTAATTTCAATAAATTTTATCCTGATATGCAAGACGAACAATGCTATAGTAGTTTTATTGATGAGATCACTAAGAGCCTGCTCTTTAGGACTAAAAAAAGAGCTAGATGTTGGAAGAAACTTGAAAAACTGGAAGTGGAAAAAACTAGAAGAAACAGGAAAACACTAGAAAAAATGGAAAAATTGAAAAAAACTGGAAAAAGCTTTAGAAATTTTTTTAATGTATATTTTACATAGTATTTTTATTATAATTGTTATAGTTGTTTTTGTTATAATTATTATTATTACTAGTAATTATTATTTTTATTTATTATCTATTTAATATTATTGTATTCATAATAAGTAAAAAAGTGAATAAAGTTTGACCATATTAGTAATATAAATGTCATTTAATTAGGGATAGAGAGAGTAGTATAATAATTATTTTTTAATTTTAAATATTGATATTTTCCCAGATCAATTTAGATTAATAAAATATCCATAATTTTTAGTAGATAGTTTAGTTTCATGTAAATTAAAAAATGCATTATTTATATTAAAAATAGAAGAAAAAATAATAATGAGCGTGAATCACAAAATAGTGACATGAGAAAAATAAAAATAGAAAAATTGTAATAATTATAAACTATAGTTGTTATAATAATAATACATGAAAAATGTATTATTTTTGGAGTCATTATTTGCAAGTAAAAAAAGATTGAAGAAAATGGGAATAGTTGGGAAAACTGGAAAATTTTGGACGAAACTGGAAAAACTTAAAGGAACTAGAAAAAACGGGAAGAAATTGGAAGTTAAGAGTTTAAGCTCTAAAGAACAGGCTCTAAGTATACCAACTTTCCATTACCAAGAATTTAGCTAATCAGTTTATATTTTTAAGTCCTGTTGTCTTCTGCAATAATCCGATGGCATTTCCTGTTAAACAATTTTTTAAAATGACTCTTTTAGCTTCACTTGCAATGGATGCATGTTGAAGACCAAAGTGCAATTTTTTCACATCCTAAATGGTTCAGCTGAATGTGTGCTACATGATGGGTTTTGTGTATTTGATTTCATATTCCAATATCTGTTGTAAATTGGTTTGTTTAAATGTCATATGCACAATTACATATATCTTCTTTTGGGGTAATGTTTCAGTGTTTTGGACTTTTTTGTCCAAGATTACCATGGTCGAAAAGGGAGCTTTGTGCAACTCTCTTTTTGAAGTTTATGTTTGCTTATAGGAGCAACTTTGCATCAAGGCATTGTTTATAATGATGATGACGACGATGATGATGATAATAATAATTATAATAATGATAAAATTTTCAGTTTTATGAATATGTGCACTGATGCTGATAAAAAGTTCAAAGTTTTTTATGTTGTCCAATTTAACAATAATGAGGTGGTTGGTCGTTTGTTTTATATGAGTTCTTATCTTACTGATTGATGGCTACTTGACAATGGTTCCTGCATCCTATTGTAGGGGATTGCCGACACAATGTCATTACTACAGAATGAAGGTCGTTTACTCCGTGGGGAGCATAATCTTCTCGGAGAAGCATTTCTTATCATGGGATCTTCTGCTGGGTAACCTTCTTTATTAAATTTAGTTTGTGTCCATGTGGCGTCATAGACAATTGACCTTTCCGTGTTATCAAATTTGCTGCAGGGTGGAACAGCAGCGACAAGTCTTGGCCTGGCTGCTTGAGCCACTAAGCAATCAGTGGACACAGACTGAATGGCAAGATGCATATCTTTCTGACCCAGTGGGCTTCATTCGGCTGTGTGCAGACACACAGACCATGTGGTCTGTTTTCCACACAGTTACATTTTTTGAAAAGGCTCTAAAAAGAAGCGGTATTCGAAAAGGGAATACAAATTCACAAAGCTTGCAATCAGATTCCTTGCACCCAATCGCTTCTCATCTTTCATGGATGCTGCCTCCTCTTCTTAAGGTAAGGTTGCACTCCCTCTGTGATATTTTATTACATCGTAGTTACTATGGGCCAAATATATCTCTTTTTGAGCTTAGTTTTTTAACGCTCCTGTGGGAGAGCAGTGAGATTGGAGCATATAGAGCGGTTGCAAATTTGAAGTGGAGACAGCAAGTTTAGAGCAGTGACTGAGTTTAGAGCAATTACAGCGATGATATTTGTGTGTGTGAAAAAATTAAAGCTGAGAGTGGTGACCTTAACAATGAAATTGGTGAAAGACTGCCGATGATATTTAAACATAAATATAGATATTAATGTGTATTAATTAGGACAGCAATAGGTCTAAGGTCATGGTGTACCTAAAATATAAACTTCAAGATCATTACTTTCCTTTTTTGGTAGTTGGTTGTCCCAAATAAACTTCTTTTTTCCTTTCAGAGAATAAATTGTGACATTGTGTGGTTGCTTTTGTTTCTTTCATTTCAAAATAAATTTCAACAACAAAATTCCATTTTTTTAATTTGCATGCCAAAAGCAAATAGGAAGTTTATTTTGGGACGGAGAGAGTACTATAGTGCTGTTTTCTCAAAAATATAATCACCAAGAAGCTATTTGCCTAGTATTAACGTTTGTGACATTTTTTACTGTCAGCTGCTTCGCGCTATGCATTCTCTCTGGTCTCCATCTGTGATGCAAACACTACCTGGAGAAGTAAAAGCTGCAATGATTATGAGTGACACTGATAGAGGCAGCCTTCTTTATGGAATGAACATTAAACTGCCAAATGGGGCATCAAGTTCTGCTGACGGATCTCCTTTTGAAATGAAGAGTGATGGTCACTCAGAGCCAAATGAAACTAATGCACGTAATTGGCTGAAGGGAATAAGGGACAGCGGGTATGCACCTTCTGTTTCAAAGCTTGTTTTGATGTTTAATCTGATGTTCTGACGCCTGAAATGAAAGGATAGGAGAGAGAGAGAGAGAGTGAGAGGAGAGAGAGAGAGAGAGAGCATGAGAGAGAGAGAGATTTTAGTTTATGTTACACTAAAATGTGCATTCAGAGATGATAAAATATTTTAGTTGGGAATAAAGATTTCTGCACTTGTTTCCCCTAGAGTAATCACATTATTAGCTTAAAATGGGAAAACGATATAATAAAGCAAAGTAAGAATTTGAGGGCTTGCAAATTCAATATTCACAGAGCATGAATGTGTGTGTGTATGCTGAATCCTCAAGTTTTGAGAGTTTGATCTTTTATGTTGAAATATATCTCATTATCTAATTTGTATGTATCTATATCTCATTGTGTTGGAAATTTGAAATAGTTTGAGAAGCTGGACTGCCATTTATTGGTTTTCAAAAAATAAGAAAAATGAGAATTCTAATATACTGTGCTTAATATTCTTAATGGAAGTGTGTAACTCTAGTATCATGATTATCATCCACTTCTTAATTACACCGTAGATAACTTCAGTGTCTTCAATCTTCCTACAATCTGTTTGCAGAAAGTAAATAGTGCTATGCATTCATTTTAATTTTTCAATAATGTTGTACCCTTAAATTCAGAAAGAGATGCATTTTTTGTAACATGGTTGAGGTCATAGCACAGTTTTGGATACTGGCATAATGCGATCGTATTTCACTAGGTATAACGTGGTGGGTTTGTCAGCAACCATCGGTGACTCCTTTTTCAGAGGCCTAGACTCTCAGTTTGTTGCTTTAGCCTTGATGGAAAACATACAGTCTATGGAGTTCAGGCATATAAGACCTCTTGTTCATTTAGCTTTGATTCCCCTTGTTAAAAGCTGCCCTCCAGATCTTTGGGAGGCATGGCTTGTAAGACTATTGCATCCCTTGCTTCTTCACTCTCAACAGGCTCTTAGCTGTTCATGGTCTAGCCTGTTACAGGAAGGACGAGCAAAAGTTCCCGATCTTCTTGGGATACTTGCAGGTTCAGACTTAAAAGTTGAAGTAATGGAAGAAAAGCTGCTTCGAGATTTCACGCGAGAAATTTGTTCATTGCTTTCGGTTGTTGCTTCACCAACTCTGAATTCTGGACTTCCTTCGTTAGATCATTATGGTCATGCCAACCGGGTGGATGAATCTGCTGTTAAAGAATTGGATGCTTTTGCACCAAGCTCTATGGTTGGGTATGTAAGATAGTTATGTATGTGGACTCGCACACACATCTTATGATTGGGGAGAATAACTCAGCTTTGAAGCACTTACTCCCAAAAGGGTTGAAAAGTGTGTCAAACTGGGAGTCCAAATCCGAAAACAATAGACATTCTATTTTAAACTAAGTTATAGGAAGTTTTGGGTAGTAAATGCATCAAGGGTCTTACAAAAACATCTCTTTTTTATTATAAGGCAAGTTTGCCTACATATTGACCCCCTGGTCCCAGCAAATTTGGGATTATGCGGGTTGTTTTTTAATGTATACATTGTATAGTAATAATTGTTGTAATAATAATAATAATAATAATAATAATAATAATTATTATTATTATTATTATTATTATTATTATTATTAGTATTGGGGTTTAAACTAGTGTTTAGTAACCAGATCCTAGATCTATCTCTCACCTGTTCTGCATCTGCTGCTTTTCTCTGCATTATAGAACAAATTAGACTCTCTTTTAACACCATATGATTGTTACTACTATTAGAGCTATTCAGTCCAACAACTATATTGACTTTGCAATTTAGGTACTACTTGGTGACCTATATTTTAATGATTGAAAGGTGATTCGTTTGCAGCTTTCTGTTGAAACACAAGAGTGTGACAGTCCCAGCATTGCAAATCAGTTTAGAGGCTTTTAGATGGACTGATGGTGAATCTGTGGCTAAACTTTCCATATTCTGTGGCGCTATAATTGTGTTAGCCATCTTAACAAATAACACGGAACTGAGAGATTTCGTGTGTAAGGACCTGTTTTCTGCACTTATTGAAGGGTTAACACTGGAATCAAATGCCTTTATAAGTGCAGATTTAGTTGGTCATTGCCGTGAAATCTTTGTTCATCTTGCTGATAAACATCCGGCACCTAGGCAGGTTGGTGAATCCTCTCATTCTGAACAGTTCTTATTTCTAGAGCTCATAGAAAAACATCTGCGCTTCAGTACATTTTTTTACATTGAATCCTTTAACAGGCTATCGATTCAAATTAGTTACATATACCCTTGCACTTCATTTTATACTCGCAGATTATACTCTCTCTTCCTCAGAGCACATCCCAAGATCTCCTTGCCTTTGAAGAAGCATTGTCAAAGACCAATAGTCCCAAGGAACAGAAACAACACATGAAAAGCTTGCTGTTATTGGCGACAGGAAACAGGTTAAAAGCACTTGTTGCCCAGAAAACTGTTAGTGTCATCACAAATGTATCAGGTTAGTCCTCTACTTCTCTACTGATTCAGAATCTTGTATGTAGAAGAAACATATGCTTTCTTAGTTTGTCTGCCTTGAATTATCTTGCTAAAACATCTGCCGAAGATTCACTCCCCTGTTTTATCACCGAAATTGTTAGAAAATGGAGATTTATGGGTTGTTTGGTACTTAGGTTCTATAGGAGGGGAGGAAAAATACGGCCTCCCCTCCCATACATTTTTTTGACCAAATAGAGGGATGCCATAATTTAACCACAAATCTGATACAGAACTCTCGTGTTTAGTCATTTTGCTTTTTTTTTTTTGTTTTCCAGCAAAGCCTCGCAACACAACTCCCACCCAAGAATCCAAAGGCGACGGAGGAGAAGCCATTGGCTTGGCTGCAATTATGTAATATAGGACTGGACTTAAACTGACATCGGCCGATTTCTGTACAGATGCAAAAAAGTTGTAGTTTTTGGACATCCATTCAGACTCCCAATCTGATACTAACGAAAGTGGACCCCGAAATGTTCTCCCCGTCTGAATTTAGTTGTCCACTTTCTTGTTCTCATTTGTCCGGAAATAGTTGTCTGCTTTCCATATTTAGTAAAAAAAGTTATGGTGATGAATTATCCAAGATATGGTAGAAATAGAATATGAGTTTTTTTTATTTTGACTTCTTGAACTCATTTCTTAAAAATGAAATCTTATAGAAAGTGGACGATTAATTTTGGATAAAGGGAGTATTATTTTTCATTCCACCGCGTCGTTGTTGGTCTCAACTTGTCCCGTGAAACATGTTTGATTCATTTTACATTTTTTTTGGGTATGAGCTTGAATTACTTGATCCTAGTAGTATATAAAAAGAACCAATATTGAATGGCACACTAAGAGTTTTTCTCGTTTTGACTTGACACACTTTTTGAAGTAAGATGAAAAATAATTTGATTCTTCGATTTTGTCTGTTTTGTAGAGCATTAAGTAGTGTAGTTTTGGAGTATGTTCATCTTTTGAAATGTTTTTTTCCCCACACATATTACTTATTGACAAAACTTTTTTAAGGTTGCTCACTTGCTCATTTATAATTTTAATTGAAGGACTATTCTTTTGGATTGAAAAAATTAACTTCTAACTTTTGAATATTGCTGACTGAGTGCTGGATGGGAAAGATATTTTTTAAAGGACCATTTTGGAAATTCTCTCTTAATATAGTCATGTCACTTTTAATTTGTAGAATTATTAATGTTATTAACTATATAATCGTAATATTTACTTTCATATATAAATAAATGTTTAAATAAATTTAGTGAATATAATTTTTGTGAAATGTCATAAACTGAAGTGAGATAAAAAAAAGGAGAATGCAATGAATACAATTTAAGTATCGAAGAAGTGAAATTATTTGTAGTTAAATGACCTAGTTATGATTTGCAAATCTTCACTTCGATATGATTTATATTTAAATGATGCTAATGAATAGTTGTCAGCCTTTTATGTCTAATTGTCCACTAGTCAATCTAGACCAAGACGGCTGAAATGATAGATTGCAGAAAAGCAGGAGCCCATTAATACCCTCAAATCCAAAAGCAGAAGCCTATTAACACGCAGCCCATTTTCAGTGACCTGGCCCAATATTTTGGGCAAGAACATTCTTCACAATAGCCTCTCACACCTTTGTATAGATTAAAATTAAAATGTACTCCGTATTGTTTTTAATCTACACGTGTATGTTTATCTGCCTGTGTTAATTATCATACTAATTTAATATTTTAATAGTTTGATGAAGACAAATTTTGCTATAAAAATATACTCTCTCCCTTCACTTAAAATCTTCCTATTACGCGTTACGAGGCTTGACCGATTTTATTTTCAATTCAATTTAATTGATTATAGGAGTAAAATTTTAAATTAAAATTTATATATTAATAAATTACATGAAAAGTTCTACAAAACTGGAGGTGACAAGACTATATTATTTTACGAAATGACTAGTAAAAATGAGCAAACAAAGTGAGTAAAATTTGACCCTGTAAATAGTCACTTGAAAGATCTATAGTGGACAGAGGGATTATTCATTTTGTGTAACCGTCAAAATTCGTATCCGATATCAGACAAAAATAAACTGATACGAATTTGGTAATGCCATATGTCCCCATTTGAATATGACAAATTTTGACATCTCCCATTTTGCCACTTCTTCATAGGTCCATAGCAGTAATTTGATGTAATTTGAACGGGGAAGATGCTTTCTTCATTCGTCGCCATATTCTCCCGCCACCGCCACCTCCACCTCCCGCCGTCTTCTTCCGCCCGCCACTTCCTCTCCGCCGCCTCCCTCCCGAATTCTTCTCCCACTTCCTCCAAGCTGCGTTCCATGTACTCCTTCACGCCACCGCCTTCGCTTAAACCCAGGATAAACCCTAACCCTCCTGACCCGAAACCTCCCAAACCGCGGTACCGGCCGCCCTCCTCCCTCGACCGCGGCGGCCAGCCAGCGGCCGTCTCTGACCTTCCGTTCGACTTCCGATTCAGCTACTCCGAGAGCAGTCCCACCGTGCGGCCCATTGGGCTTCGCGAGCCCAAATACTCTCCTTTTGGACCGGGCCGATTAGACAGGGTTTGGACCGGCGTCTGCGCTCCTGTAGTTGACCCTAGACGGGGATCGCAGGAGGATGAGAGAAAGCTCAGGGAGAAGAGGAGGGAGATGTGGGCGAAGATTCAAGGAGTGCCATTGACCGATGCAGAGAGGAACGCTCTTGTTGAGAGGTGTCAGAGGCACAAAACTAAGAGGCAAATCAATTTGGGTATTCCTATTTCTTTCTCTCTTTTTTTTCGTTTTTTTTAAAAAATTATATGGACTGCAAAGTGCTGTCTTTCTGCAATTCATCTTCAAGACTTAAAAAAAAGTTCTGCTCAAGTTCATTTTTTTTTTCATATTTTGAACTTCTGCGGTTTTCTAATTATCAGCAATTCAATTTGTCATCGGTTTGATATTGAGCACCAACTCATTCCAAACAAGGCCTGGGTTCCAAAAACCACCATTTGAGTGAAATTTACATTTAGGAAGCTTAACCATTTATGTGGAATATATATCTGAAAGAGTTGCCCAAGAAGCTTACCTTAGTTGTTGCATTCATGTGTAGGTAGAGATGGGTTAACACACAACATGTTAATTGTTATTCATGATCACTGGAAACACACGGAGGTCGTCAGGATAAAGTGTATGGGGGTTCCCACTGTCAATATGAAGAACTTGTGCTCTCATTTGGAGGTATCATATTTTTTTCGCATCCCTCCTCAATTTATAATCTTTTTTCTCAATGAATTATGGTCCCATTAGTTTGTCTAAAATGGTTCAGCTGGCAATCTTTAAAATGGTGCCTTTTATTCATTTTTCTTTAAAGTGATCCAATTCTTTTGTTTAAAATTACTCCATACTCTATAGGGATTGACCTTGTACTTTGTTGTTGTATCATTATTCATCCCCAAAGATTTTATTTGTAATGTCTTCTAGGAGAAGACGTTTGGTAAGGTCATCCACATACATGGTGGGTTTCTTGTACTCTACAGAGGGAGGAATTATGATAGAAAGAAGATACCAGAGATTCCATTAATGTTATGGAAACCCCATGAACCTGTGTATCCAAGACTTATAAAAACTACTATCGAAGGCTTGAGCATTGAAGAAACCAAGGAAATGAGGAAAAGAGGATTAGCTGTTCCCGTTTTGACAAAACTTGGTAAAACTTATTATTCCGTTCTTCCTTTAACAGAGAGGCTGTTTAGTGTTTGTGCAGTCTATATCTAATGCGTGGGATCTCATGCAGCTAAAAATGGCTATTACGCTAGCCTTGTACCCATGGTTCGAGATGCTTTTTTGACTGATGAGTTGGTTAGGATAGATTGTGGAGGACTCCCAAAGAGTGATTACAGGAAAATTGGCTGCAAGTTGAAGGTAAGGCTTGAATTCACGTTTACCCCTTGTTTGGTTACCCTAGTAAAGTGCCACTTTTTCTTAGAAAAACTGGACTTTGGCTCCTTCTGCCTAATCAAACAACATTTCACTTTCCTTGGAATGCGGTCTTACTTCCCTTCAAAAGTAGGGAATCCATTTCTAGGGAGGGTGGGGAGTAAGCATTTTTCTTTCGAATGTTTTTTTCTACCATATGGATGAGAAATATTTTTTATTATTGCAGAATTATATGTTACTTTCTTTGTCGATTCTAGCATAGCTGGTGCAAATATAGTATAGCATGGGCAATGCAGATGTATCTGTATTTCTTTGGGTCACTCTAAGGCTATGTTTGTTAGCCCTATCGAGTTCGAAATATTCTACTTTATGAGCACAAGAAGCTTTAGACTTATTTGGTTATAATTCATGTCAAAACACTTTTCATTTCATTAGCTTCTAGCCAAATAACTAATGCTCTATATCGAGGCAGGATCTGGTTCCTTGCATCCTCGTAACATTTGCTAAGGAGCAGATCGTGGTATGGAGGGGAAAAGACTATAAACCCCCCAATAATGGGGATGATTTTTTACTCCCAGATAGGGAACCGTTTGATAACAATGACGATGATGAAGCCGGTCCTCCTCCAAAAGAAGATGAATGCCTTATGAGATTCTATGATGGAGTGCTTAATGTGATTGGCAACAACGCGTCTTCTCCTCGACGTCCTCACCATTGCTCGAATAGCATCACACGTCCTACTGCTAGAGCCTAAGAGCCTGTTTGGGATTGGCTTATTTTACAAGTACTTTAATATAAAGAAGTTTCTCATTTAAGCATTAAAAGTTCTTTTCAAATAGATTCAATCTAGTGCATTCTTATATAAGCACAAAATGTTTTTTTTTTCATTTTCTTACTATGTGCTTCTCTTTTGAAGTAAAATTGTAAATTTAGTTCTCTTTGTACAAAAGATACTCCCTTCTTCCCCAAAAGAATTTCTCATCACTCTCCTTTTTGTCTCCCCCAAAATAAACTTTCTCCTTTTTTTCTTTCCATTAAAGAAAACGATCAAGTGGTTCACAACATTTCCCTCTTCTAACAAATTTTATCCGCACACTTTTTACTTTTTAATGCCCCGTAAGTTAAACTTCGTGAAGTCAGTCCATAACTTTCTTTTGGGCACGGAGGATGGGAAATAAGTCATCCCACAGCCACTCTGAAGTGCTTAGCAGGCGAGACCGAGGCCACCAAGAGGTGTTGGGCCCGGGAGGATGAGATACGAGGAAAAATTACAAAATTGACCCCGATCAATCATCCGATTTCAAGTACTTCTTAATCTCTCAGGTACCACTCCACACCCTATATTCGACTCATTGCAAAGATATTGTAGTATGTGTACCTACCAATATGGACTCTTGTAAATTGTAAAACTTATATCTTAAATAAAAAGAAATTACATTTTACTACATTGTTGTATATGGGGTTAGAAATCTTAGAATCTGCAACATCATCTTGCACAATAACCTGAACACTTGGAGCATGTTAGTGAAACTGGTTTTGTGCTGTTTTGAAAAGAAAAGAAACCAAACATCTTTGGACAATGTTGTTAATCGAGGTATAGTCTGAGTCTATCAAAGAGTCATCAGACTACTGATGATACTCTGATAATTTGATCAAATAATATGGTTATTTTTCAAATAATATGGTTATTTTTTCAATATTTTACTTTTTCTGTTCCAGTATATTACGGAGTATTTGAGTTTGATTTTTCGGAATTGGAGTTAAGGCTCTAGATTGGCCCAAAACATCTAACCCCTTCTTTTGGGCCGAAGGGCCGAAAACACTAATATTAATGCATTATGAACGTTTATTATATACAATGTGTGGGCGCCCTGAATGCCTTAGCTCGTATACAGATTCTTGGTCCAATAGAAGTAGTACTCTCTTATATCCTGTACGGATGTCGTTAATGACAGGGGACCTCGAAGTGACTGAGTCGAGCCAAAGTGATTCTTAGGATGCCCTCTGACCCGACTACCATTTGGTCTCTCGAGGGTAGGCCGGGTCTCCTCTATTGGTGCTTCTCCTCTCGGCCAAGCCAAACTTTAGGTTCACTATGCATATCTCTTGGGCCGACCCACACGTTGGAGCCTTTCCCAATACAGGAGTTAAAATAGATGAACTTTTACCATCAGTTACTCTCAATTTGTATTACATAAATCAATATGAAGAAATTATAATTTGAAAATTTACAAGATAGATATAATGAAATCATTTTTGTATTAATATGCATTGCAATTTTAATTTCTCTAGTTTAACTTGAAAAAGTCAAACTAAATGAATATACAAAATTGTATTTTTCTTGTAAGCTAGTTTAACATGTAGTACATTATTTCTTTCAACAACAACCCAGTTGAATCCCACTACAGTAGGGTCTGGGGAGGGTGTGTGTACGCAGACCTTGCCCCTATTTGAAAATAGGGAGGCTGTTATAGTACATTGTTTCTTTGTTTGATTTAATTGAGACTAATCTGATTTTGTTAATATCTCACTTGAGCCTTAGCTTCTCAATTATTTACTGCCCGATTCTTTTAACATTATTACTAAGTTACCTCTAATTTTAGTTTAAAAATAAGTTGTCAAAAGAATCAGGCCACATATTACAAAGGAACCATAAAAAATTGGGACAAAAAATAAAATTGATGGTTCTGCCCCAATAGAAACAATCAATTTTTTTTGAAGAGAGTATCGTATAAATTGAAAATCTCAATTGGACGAGTGTTATAGTATGATACCCAACATGGGTGTCCCAATAACCTAGCCCGAAGTAATAGTTGCATAACGAAAAACCGGACAATAAGCTAAAATACCATAGAACATTATTATTGTTATTATTATTATTCTTATTAATATTATTATTATTATCATTATTATTAGCGCAATATGCAAATAACATTATTCGTTATTGGCATAATGAAAATCTTAGCATTATATGCTAGAAAACATACTAACTTGCCCATATGAGAATCTTACTATAACATCATTTACACTGGTCTATGTATGTGTGTGTATATATATGACCATTACGGAGTGGGATTTACATCCCTTGGTTATATCTTCCTAGTACGGTTTATACGTACTTCGAGTGGCGCTGGTTAATAATGTACCCAAGCAAGAGACTTACAAGAGCCACCATAACCACAAACAGCAAAGGAAACCCGACCTCCACTTTCCTCACCGCTGCTTTCCTTTCTCTCAATTTCGCCTGCGAACCACAGAGAAAAAGGCAAAGGCAAACATTAAAATGTTTGGGTGAAGGATGGATTCCACCGCGTCATTACATATTAGGAACCATATTCGATGTGTCAATTGGAGTTTTAAATGCAAACTAATGCACAATCTAGCATAAAAAGTAAACAATGTAATATTTTTTCTAGTCCGGATTCGGTTCTCCACTTTCTTGTTTTCAATTGTCCAAAAGTAAATATCCACTTTCGATATTCAATAATTCTGAATGAATTGCCTAAAGTTTCCGTGAGGTAGTGTACACCAACAAACCCAGTAAAATAAAATCCTACAAGTGTCAAAGAGTAGGGTCCAAGGAGGGTGCGTGTACGTAAACCTAGTCTCCCGGCTCAAACATGGATGCACATATAAAGTAAACATAGTAACACAAATAAAGTAAAAGCATGGCTAAAATGAGAAACCAAGCCATTTGAAGGACTTCAGAAATTGCAGAACTAAAGTTAGACTCTAAAGGGAGTAATAATTTTGAGCCCCGTCTTATTACTCTTATGTAGGAATAGATTTTTGTTTAGTTTGAGAATTACCAGTTCAGCACGTAAGCTCTCTTTCTCTTGAGCAGACACTCTCGTTTCCTCCGTCAGCTTTGAAATGGTTGCTTCCGCCTACAAGTATTGTAACATCAGGATTCAGGATGTGTAACACCTAACTACAAGAATACTAAAGAATTCAAATAAACCATTCAGCCTTGTTTGGTTGGGGTTTTTTTAGGGGAGAGGGAATATTTATGTCATTAATTCATCGATGAATGAGCAAGCTGAAAAGGGCAGGAAAGTGATAAACTATTAAAGGAATACTCTCCCCGTTCCAAAAAAAGAATCACATTTCAAAACTTATTTTTGTCACGTGAAGAGAGGAAAATAAGTCATTCACCTTTGACCACCAAGAAATTAAAACTTCCATTGAACTTAATGAGATTTTTTCAAAATGCCAAATTTAATGAAACAATTCCTTTTTTATTGAAAGGGAGAGAGTACATGATTTAACTAAATAGCTGTAGGTAGTTGTTTCATACATACCACTAATGAATAGCGATGAATTTGTAAATCCAATATTGCTCCCAATAGAATACATGTAAAAAAACTGACAGTTCTTTTGAAATAAGTTTTTTATGAGTCTTGGAAATGTTCTACCTCACTTAGTTTCAGCTCCAGGGCATTCAACATTGACTTCATTGCATTGATTTCATTCTCAAGTTCCTCCCTTTCTTCCACCCCCTTAATGGTTTCAATCTCACAATGCTCTGTTTCCGCGGACTCCTCTTGAGAGTGTTCAACTGCCTCCTCAGCTGGCTGCAAAAAAGAATCAAACAAGAAATGAAATACAAGTGTGCAATACAACATTGATTCTGCCAGAGACAAATATCCACTTTCAAGCAGAAGTGTTCCCCACAAAAACGAAGAGAAGTTAACCCACAAGACGAAAATTAACGAGGATTCTGCCACAGATATCTGATTTTGATGCATGTTGTCATCATCACCGGCACCTCAGTCCCAACTAATTGTGGTCGATAGAATGACTTCGATACTGTCAAGTATCAATTACTGCCTCCAAACAATCTTGGAAATATAAGTTCAAAAGATACAAACGACTGTTCAGAACTTGTGAAAATTTATTGCCATCACCGAGTTTATTAAATCAATATAGGCAAAATAGCAAGTATATTTACACATTCTTTATGTTGCAACCTTCTCAATAAATTCTATATATAGAATAAATTACTTACTGTTTGTGGCGGAAGTTGGGTTTCAACATTGAGATGATCTCCTAACCATTTTGGTGGAGAAGATTCAAAATCCACTGGGTGACCATGTCCTCCATCAGTTTGCAATATCACTGGTGAGTAGAGATTGGTTTCCACTGACTTCCTTGCATTGATATCATTGCCACGTTTCGCTTTTTCCACATCCTTTGTGGGGTCAATCTCTGGAAATTTTTCTTCCACATGATCCACTTGATATTCCTGTTTAACCCCTTTGTTGGCTGGCTGAAAGAAGAAACAAATACAAAATACTGTTATGCACACAATACAGCACTGGTCCACCAAGTGAACTCTCAAGACACAAATTTAACAAGGCATTTTGTTAAAGATTTCTTCTGGTAAGTGATTATGAAACTTTCTGGGTATGTTTATATCTCGGAAACTGTCAGGGAAAAGGAAAATGACAAGGAAAGCTATTTTATTGTGTTGAGTGTCGCCAATGAAAATGAAAAGGAAAATGAAATTCTCACTTTGTTCCAAAATAAACTTCTCATTTCCTTTTAAGGAATGAACTGTGTGGTTGCTTTGGTTCCTTTCTTTTCAAATCAAATTCCGACCATACAATTTTATTTCTTTAATTCATGTGCCAAAAGTGAATGGGAAGTTTAATTTTGGACGGAGGAAGTATGATTCATGTTTTTAATTTTATTTAAGTATTTTTAAATGATAAAAAGTAATTAAATAAAATGTGTTTCAACAAACATAAAAAAATATTTAGTTTGAACCAATGGTTTGTTTTCTCCCACATTCTCTTTCCTTCAAAACTCCACCTATGGTTTCCTCCATATTTACTTTCCCTACCATTTTCAAAATTCCATACAGGCCCTCTATATATAAAAGAATTACTTACCCTTTGTCGCGTGACCTGCGGTTCACCATCTATAAAATCTCCCAACCATTTTGGTGGAGAAGATTCAATATTCAGTGGAATGCTGCGTGCTCCATCAACTTGTGATATTACTGGTGACTTGTTTGGACTAACAAGAACCACCCTTAGTTTGTTCTCTTGGACATACTTGCCATCGTCTTTGGAAAACTAAAAATGGAAATATTGAGAGACAAGAAGTAAAAATCCTATAAACTGTTTATAAAAAAAAACTCCAAACAAAACTATTTCTTGAACCAAGAACAGAAAAACACTATAAGAGATAAAAATGCTTTGAGTTACATACTGTCTCTGAGGTGATATCTTTATCAGAAGTACCATCTGGGACAACTTTGCTCTGAACTAAGAACTTGTCTTTGCATACCATATCTGGAGGAGGTTCCTGTTGTGCTTGCATAATAACTGGATAAACAGAATTTCTGACATTCATAAATGCAGCAAGAAGCATAAATAAAGAATTTCGTACATGGAAAACAATTGACAAAGAACGTAGAAGAGTATTTGCCTATATCATCATTTATCAGAACTACCAAAACTGTATCATCATTTATCAGAACTACCAAAATTGTATCATCATTTATCAGAACTAACATAACAAGATTTGGTTTAGAAACATTTTAATTTCTAAAAATACTCTATACTTCAAACATCCACTCATCGGCTGACAAGGTGAAATTCGAACCAAACATGCAATTCTTGTGACCAGACACTGTCACAATATAAGGTAATGAGTGGGAAGTACAAATTACTCTTAAATTCACATGATGATTTGGAACTAATAATTCCTGCATTTGGTCGGACACAGTACTTCTTTGGATTAGTGGTCTTGACCTGCCAAATTAGTCACCAATGATATTACAAGATGGAAAAAAAAGGAACGGATAAAATTCTAAACTAATGTTTGTTGATAAGAAACAAAAAAAAGGTCTTTACCTTAAAAGCAACAGTTTTATCTGTCTTGTTGATTAATTGAGTAGTGCATGAGCTTTGCCTCCTTGGTTCAACTGTAGAAATTCAATTAAACAGTTCTGTTCATGTTGCTACATTAATTTGGTAAAAACTGCAATATTGAAGGCATACAAGCAAGTGCAAACTGCGAAGTCTACTTACTAAGGAATTAGACTGCAAAATTTCAAATACAAAAAAGATGAGTCTTTTAACACCAACTTATGGTACCTATAATAAGAAGATGTGGATAAGATATTCTATATTTCTATAAAAGCAAAATGCATACGTATAGTTTAATTATTATACTTTCTTTAAAAAAATGGAGCATATATTAAAAATTGCACACTAGCTTATATATCTTATATCTACCAACTTGATACATTGACACCATTTTCACTACAGGATGTATGCTAGTGGTATGAGAAAAACATGCATTCAAGCCCATGAAGACCCTGTTCTTCTGGGTTGGAATTTTAGAGCTGGATGTTGGAAGAAACTGGAAGGAGTTGGAAGAAACTACAAAGAGTTGGAAAAAACTGGAGGGAGTTTGAAAATGTTGGAAGAATTTAGGTGTTAAAAAATTACTCAATTAAATGATCATCCAAATAAATATGTAAGAAAATTTTATTTTTGAATATAAAAGAAATCATCATTGTTCGTGTTTGATATGATATGTTATAAATTTTGATATATAATAATATTTTAAATTAGTCATATATAAATACCTATTTTATTCGTTGTTGGAAGAAACTGGAAAGAATTAGAAGGAACTGTAAGGAGTTGGTAGAAGTTGGAAGTTAATTTTTCCAGTCCAAAAGAACAAGGCCTGAATGAGCAAGAACACTTTAACCGGACCAGCTTAAAGTTGCTCGAATACACGTTGCTCCTCTTTATTCGAGTCCAAATTGTGTTTAGGTTTAAAATAAAAATTTGCAAATTTCTTAAATTTAGATAAACACGTAAAAATAGATAGTTCAATTGCACTTTGAAAGTAAAGTTTACTTCACTCTTTTATAAAAGAACACTAACCTATAAATTATATAAATCATGTTTCCATTAAATTTGATTGTTAAAAATATGGAGTATCATAACACCGAGGACCAGTGTCAAAAGATCCTTACCCCAATAATAAGAAAAATGATGATAACAAAAACAACAACAACAACAACAACAATAATAATTAATCCGTAATAAGAATAATAATAAGGTGAAAAATATGGATAAATGGCCGGAGTGAAATGGACACTTACATATGAACTTGACATCACGAGGGTGTATACCCACCAACTCAAAATGCATTTCTTCTTCCTTCTCTAATTCCACTCAAATACCGCAAATTGCAGATCACTTCCACAGCACAACTGACCAAATCATACACACTCTCTTATAACATAAAAAAATTATGAATCAAACAAGCAAAAAACACAAAAAAAACGATTTTATTCGACTAATTACAGAATACTATGCCTTGTTGACTTAATTATTACTTCGATGACTTCAGCTTTGACAGAAAGAAGAAAAAAAGGCGTGAATTGCTTTTTCTTAAAACCGCATAAAAATGTAAAAGAAGGAGAAGAAGAAGAAGATGATGATGTATTCGTATAGAGAGCATCGAGAACTTACCAGAGCAGAAATGGAGGGCGATTGTCGATTAGAAGACGGAAGTGATAAGAACACGCGGTGGCTCTTTCTCTCTCTCTCTCTCTCTCTCTCTCTCTTTCTCTTTTCTTAAAGGCGGTGGAAATTATGTCATTTGAATCTGGTTCTTCGGTTCTACTTCTTCCTACAGCATATACCCCAATTTACTTATTTCTTTTTTTTAAAAAAAAAAGTCACTTGTAACTTTAAAAATGATGATGGCTCTTCATTTTTCAAAATTTTTTCTTTCATTTTTTTTAATTTTTCACAAAATACTTCCATTTTTAAATAAAATGATTAATATATTCAATTAAAATCATTGCTATATACTTCATCCGTTTTACATAGATATAATAAAGCGAAATTTGCACTAAATAAGACTAAAACATAATGACTTTCTTAATCTAAGACTTAAACTTTTTTATTCCCTAAATAGAACTTAATAATGTCTTAGTGTGAGGAATAATTCCCAATAATGATAGACATTTACTTGAATAATGACTAATTAATAATGATCAAAAGTCCTACATTGGGAAATAAAAACATATGGTCCTATATCAGAAAAGTTATTGTGTTTTAGTCTTATTTAGATAAATTACTCAATAATAAATTCTTTAAGTTATTTGTCTTTTTTTTTACGTTATGGATATAATTGAAAAATCAAATAATCTCTCAAAAGTTAAAAGAAAAATTGTTTTGCAAATGAAAAGAGTAACTTGTACTCTTCTTTTATCTATTTGCTCAAAAATATTTCTTTTTAAGTGTTATTAATTCTACTATAGTGTTATATTTTATTACACTCAATCAACTTAATGGCACACATTGAATCAATGTTAGTGTAGGGAATCGAACCTAGATGACAATGATGAGCGTTGAAAGTTAAATTGACTCGCTGCTAATTCACTATAAAGTAGTTACAGACAATTTAAGAGTCATTTCACTTATCTACGGAGTATTATATACTCCAAATTCTCAAAGAGAATGAACCAAGACGTTATTTTTTTACTAATTGAAGCATAACGAGTCATTGCTCTCACTGGAGTTCAAACTTGGGATCATATTTTTTGCTCATATGAAAAAAATGATTCGACTCGTATTTAAATGTAGGAATGTTTTTTTTAAATCAACAAAATCTTAATAGAAAATGAATCAAAATAAGAGTAGAGCACCATAATTTTTATCTCCAAAATAGGAGAACATTGTCAATATTTAGTACAAAAAAATACAGTTATATGTCACTAAAAAGTGTCATAATGTCAGAGTGTAAACTTATATTTTGGAGATAAAAACATAATTTTTTTTATTTTAAACACAAATGTTATGTTTTATTTTTATTTGGGGTAATTTTTTTAATCAAGTAAAAGCAGAACCCGAAGGATTATACTCGCGCAACCGAAACTATGTCTCAATCTCTCAATACGTCTTGCAAGTGATGGGCACCCATGTAAAGATTACTATGAGCAAACTAATAGCACATGTCTACTATGAGCTCGCCCCCTGGGTCTATGAAGGACGCGCTCGGCCCAACGTGCTCCCCCGACTGAAGATAAGATCAACAATGGCGCCATACCTATATCTCACACCCGGCTTCCCTTGACACCCTTGGCGTACGGTTCCGGGCCAGTCACACGAGGTTAACAGTCAGAGGTCAAAGACGTCATAGGAAGGCAACATGTCATGGGCTTGGTCAACAAGACAAGCGTCATTAAGAAGTAATGTTAGCAAGTGATATGTTATAGAAATGAGACAAATGTAAGCCTTATTGACCTAGGGTAGTTGAATTTCGGCCAAGGACCATATTATATAAATATAAATAGGACCCTTTATCCGATCAAGGAGGGATTGGACTCTGACTTCTGAGTTCACAATACGCATTACAAACTTTCTATCTCATCTTTTTGTATTAACCCATCCTTAGAATCTATTACTGTACAATAAACCTGTGCAAACAACGACCGATCCTTCCGGCCCGCCCATTAAAAGGGCAGATATGGACAACCTTCAATACCCACATGGGCGGGCCGGTCCAAGCTCAAATTATATTTTGGTGGATCTGAAAATTACTTTTAGTTCATCTGGGCCAACATGTCCCCCCATATTCATCAAATACATTTACTTTATTATTAATTACCTAGCCAATATAAATTTTGAAATTTTCTATAATTCATGTATAATAGTTCAATTCACTCACCTCTCTTAAACGAAATTCAAAAGTCTTTTAATGAATCAGTATGATGAGTTTATTAATTATGTAACAATACTTTTATTATGCTTTTTATGTAAATGTAGCGACTAGTAATTTTATTATAAATATTGAAAAAAGAGTTCAATATTTTTTTTTGTGAATTTTTTATGCAAAAAAGATTTTCTCGACGTTTAATCCCGTGGGCAGTTCGGCCTCCTAAAGCGGATGGGCATGCGTAAAGAGTTTAGCCCATTAAATCCGATTCAAGCCAGATTCGTCCATGTAAATGAGATACTAGTTTGTATAACTCCCACCCAAATCCATCCTTATTTTGCCTTATAAACAATTATTTTTGTATGTGGGACGGAACACAAAAATATTGGTATACCAGAGTACGTGTACATTTTTTCATGAAAAACTGATCGCCTGCGTCGCTCTCCATAATCACCGTTTCGCACACTCTTCGTACCCTCCGTCCTATTTTCCTTCTCTACATATCAAGCTCCAAGATCTCGATACCCATATATATATATATATATATATATACACACACACACACACACACACACACACACACAGCGAGCTGTGAAGATCGAAGTTGTTTTCTGAAGAGTCATGGCGGCCATCTCTGGTGCATCGTTGATTTCTATCGGCTCCCGTCTTCAAGTTCCATCTCTGAACTCGGTGCGTATCCCGCGTTCATCGTTACATGCTCTTATTATGATCATCATCATCATTTCACGATTCCTGATTCTCGTATTCGTGTGCAATTTGATTGCGTTTTATCGGTTGTATTCTCTAATTGGATGGATGTTGCCTCCGGTATGGTCAAATTGTTTCGAATTCATATGATTTTAGGTGCGAATTGGGCAATGCCACTTATTTGAAAGATGAAGTTATCAGATTGGAGATTTAGATTTGGGATTTCAGATTTCACAAGTTTCATCTGGCATTTTAATTTTGATTTAGCTAGCTTACCTTTTTTTTTTCTTTTTTCATTCATTTCCAATGTGTGCTTGGTTATGTGGACGCAGGGAAAGATGCTATCCAGCGTGAAAAGAGTTGCATTTCCCATTCAACAGAGAGCTGCGCCTCTCAACTTCAGAACCAGAGGCCTTCAGATTTCTTGTGCTGTAAGAACCTTTTCTCTCTATCCCTTTTTTTTCAGTGTGTTTCTGTTGGAAGTTTTGTGCTATGCAACAATACATGATGCACTCGTATTCGATTCTTTGCTGCTATGAAAATTGCTTTTTTTTGGGTAGATGACTTCTGCTGCCTGTGATGCCTATGGAAGCACCTAGGGCAATGTAGACTACGGGTTGCTTATGAATATTAGTTAACTGCATTATTTTTATACCACTTGGAATTAACAACTACTGGTAGACATTTTGGTCTTTGTTTGTCTGGACCGGGGGCTACTACTACTAAATTGTGATGCGTAAGACTCTAGTGTTCTTGAAGCACCTCACACGTGGAACTGTGGGGAGATGTAGTCTAAGGTGCTTCTTTACATTCTGTCAGTGATTATCACGTACCCATTGTATATAATCTACTTGTTCCATCCTAGATTATACTCTGGGGTATTAGAAAGTTGTGTGTAATATACCAAGCACTGTAAAATGACTTATGCATGATTGTTTTAAGGCTAGCTATTAATGCTTTTATATCTTCAATACTCATTGTGACGTGTTTACTTTAAAAAGAGAGTAAATTTATCTCTTGAGTTACTAAAATGGCTTTCACTGTTGGACAGTAAATTTCTTTCTGTTTTGGCTGTTGGGTTTATTCCTATATTGTGCTCCATTACTCTTCATTAAACCTGATCATAATGTGGTGTTTCTGTAATTTAACAGGCCAAGCCTGATACCGTGGACAAAGTTTGCTCCATTGTTAAGAAGCAGCTTGCACTGGCTGACAGTGTCTCTGTCTCCGGTGAATCCAAGTTCACTGATCTCGGAGCTGATTCTCTTGATACGGTATATAGTTTGACTTTTTTGAGTCAAATATGTCGTCCTTCGCCTATTAAACTTGTTTAATTTGAGTGTAATAAATTCTCAGGTTGAAATTGTGATGGGGCTTGAGGAGGCATTTGGCATAACTGTGGAAGAGGACAGTGCCCAGTCAATTGTGTCAGTTCAGGATGCTGCGGACCTCATAGAGAAGCTTGTTGGCAACAATAAGGACTCTTAAGCCCAGTGGAGAGGCATTATACTGTTTTTTCATTACTGTACTAGGATCTGGAGCTGTCTTTGATATTTGTTTCTTTTTCTCTTTGTCGGACCAAAGAAATGATTACCAGTATCGTTTTTTATGCTAAAGGTGGCTGATTTTTTAAAAATGTCTTTGCATTTGCTCAGACTAAAATGCTTTGTTTTTTTAATACAAAAAAATAATATCTTGAGGCAGTTGTGATGATTTTTTTTACCTATTTCATAAGAAGGACAAACATAATTTAAAGGATTTAATGGGCAAAATCTGTGTTATATGTTCAAATGTTGGGTGACTAAATAAAAAATTAAATAAATTGCGGGTGGGAGTTAATAAAAAAACTAAATAAAGTGCCCAGAGTTAATATCAATGTTTGATTTCTAGCAATTTCGTTGGAAGACACTATTGCTAATTTTCATGTGTATGTTACATCATTTATTACTCATCTATGATTAAAATTTATCTCTTCATAATAAACATGAATTAAAAAATTAGAATTATGTCATCAGTCTCATTTTATGTAGTCTATTTTTCCCCTTTCGTGTTCCAAACTATTTTCTTTGTTTCATTTGTATAGAAAATATCAAAATGGTATGTGTATACATTGCTTCTCTCAGCTTTTTTTCTTTTCTTTTTTCCTTTTCTTCCTCCTTCGTGAAGCCCCCGGGCCCCACCCACACTGTAGCCTTCTTCTTCCTTTCTCCCTCTCTCTTGCCTCGCTTTGGAGGCTGACGCGGCCGTTGGGACCGGCGAAACCACATCGTGCGGCCTAAACAATGATAAATATTCTTTTCAATAACCCCTAATCACTCATCTTTGTCTCATCAAGTACAACAATGTCATTATTATGTAATCATTTATATTTTTTGCATTTCGGTAAGAAAAAGAAAAACTATTGAGATTTCGATTGAAATATCTAACAAGATTTCTATAAATTTTATAACGATTCTTTTGACTTTAGAAATCAAGGTCATATTATGATCCAAAGTTTTTATGGTACTTCGTTACTGAAATTGGTAGTTCTTACCCCCTAACACCCCTTGCATCTCATCTTAATCCCGGGGAGTGGGCAAAAAAGGTTGGAGTGGGATGCAAGAGGATTTATGGATTAGTTTTACCCACAGCACCGTAAGTATTCCAAAGTACCAAGATCATTAAATAAAGCATAAACCAATATGCGATTCAAACAACTACCAAAATAAACAAATTTTATAAAAGGAGTATGAGCAAATTTACTCACAAATTAGGGTTAACAAGGTAAAAATTAAATCTCTCATCTTTTAAAATCATTTTATCTACAAATTAATATATCGATAAAAAATAAAAATTACATATTAAAAATCGATGCTAGAAGTTCTTCAAAACAAGAAGTGGGAAAAATATTTTATTTTATCAAATAATCAATGGATACACACAAATAAACAAAAGTTATGAAAATGAGAGAAAAATTTGTAATCAAATTTGAGATGGAAGGAGTATCATAAAAACATATGTTTAAGTATGTTTAAGTCATACCAAAATAAATAGGGCCTAAACTTACTAAAAGTAACAAATGAAAATTAATACAGAGTAATTAATTTATTAATTTAATTTTTTAGTGATAACAGTTCAATTCCGTATTTTCATTTTTTATTTTTTGGAAACCCGCCTCGTACGATATTTCTCGTAGATTCACATGAATACTTATTTTTGAGTAACTAAATACTCATTTTCGAGCATAACTAATTTGTTTAAAAATGGGTATTCAATAACTCGGAATTGAGTATTTAGTTCTTCAAAAATGAGTTTTCAACTTACATGTAAATGAGTACTCATTGCAAATGTACGAAAATATATATTGCGGTCTCGAACCATTTTGAATTTTTGAATAAATATTTTACTCTAACCATTTGAAATTCGTTTTTCAATTCGATATAAGGTCTTGTGGACCATAAAAAGTTACTCCGTAAAAACTACGGGTGAAAGTGCCTATCCTACAGTGAGCCGCCCGGAGCTCATCCCAGCCGCAGTGTAATCATCACAGGGGCTCAGAGAGGAAGGAATGGAGTGGCGGCTGATTGCTGTTTCGTTGGCCGTCATTTGGGCGGCTTCTCTTTGCAATTTACTCCTTGAATCTGGGCATGGATCAAAGGCTAGGTTTTTGGATGATGGCGGTAATTCTATAGCTTGCCCTAAAAGATCATTCGTATTGATATGACGATGTCAAATTTCTTTGGAATTTCTCCGGCTCTTATTTGTCTGAAGGCTTAAATCTGGATTGTCTATGTGCCCGTTTGGCAATAGTTTCAGCATTTAGGTATAAGATTTTGAAATCACTATCTATTCGTAGGTTTAGTTTTAGCATTTTCACAATTAATCTACCCATAATTTTTTTTTTGTCTAAAGCTAATTGAAAATGTTGATCCAAACAAGGTTCAAGTCTATAATCCTTAAAGTAAGAAGAACTTGTGCATCTTATTGGATGTATGTTGTACTAAAAAAGGTTGAATACTTGATACATCTAGAGAAATTTAGTCTTAGTGTTAAAGGAAAGTGTATATTTGAAATATTCTATTCATTATTTTGTGAATATTTACCATAATACGTATACACTAGGAGTGTTATTATGTTTCTTTAATTTATTATGGTAAGAGCTCTTATTCAAAGAGAACTAGCTGAGTTGTGGGTTATCCCAGTATATACAGGCCATTGTGTTTTGTAAACATTCATATAAAAATTATACCGAAATAGTTTCCCAAATATTGTTGTTATCATGGTATTGAAACCATACGATCTTACTTGACCTGTAGCTATGATAGTTAGGCACATTACGGAAAACCTGAATGAATGAACCCCAAAATTACTCCGGGGTACCTTCGATTTTCTGGTAATGATTCCCAGGTCCCACATTATCTGAAATATACTTCCTGGTACCCTCAATTTTCTATTAAGAACTCTCAGGTCCCACATTACTTGAAATATACTACGGGGGTCCTTAAAATTAGTGGTAATGTACTCTTTGGATATATTCTATCTATTTGACCGTTAGGATTAAAAGTTTTGGTGCTTTGACAAATACGGAATACTAAATTTTAGCTTCATAATCATTATTTTATTAATTTTAAATAAAACCCTTCAGTTTCACAAAGTTAAAAAACTTTCAATCCTAACGCCTAAATGGATAAAATGTACCCTCGAAATATAATATAACAAATTTTAAGGACCTCGAAGTATATTTCACATCATGTGGGACCTGAGAGTTCTTACCCAAAAATTGAGGGTACCCCAGAGTATATTTTGAATAATGTGGGACATGATAGTCATTACCAATAAATTGAGGGTACCCGAGAGTAATTTTTTGTGAATGAACCCCTTAATAAGGATGAGGTAAACCTCAACTTTTGATAGCACATTTTAGGTGAATTATGTTCATTTTATTATTAACATGGTATGTGTTGATGTGTGAATGTGTAAGACAGTAAGAGATTCGTTTAATAGCGGTTTTGTTTCCAACTGTATTTGTGTATTCAGGTAGAGTTTCCAAAAAAAGAAACGTCTTGTTGGTTATTGCACATCCTGACGATGAATCTATGTAAGGTCAAGTAAAGAAGGTTCTTCTTTTATCTTGAGATCACGATTTACTTATTTCTTTGTAAGGTCAAATGTCGAATTTTCTTTGAGATCTAAAAGCTGGTTTCACCTGACTTTCTAACATCCATTAAATGTTGAATTATGTGATTTTTTTGGGCTTATACAGACGAGTTAAACTTTATGAAGTAAATGGGCATCGTCTTTCTGGCTTAAACATATAATTTGTGCAATTTGTTTTTTAGTTTGTAATTTGTATTTTTTCAGGTTCTTTACTCCAACCATCAATCACCTTACTTCAAAGGGGCACAATTTGCACATATTATGCATATCAACAGGTGAGATACTATCATCATTCGATAATCTTTGTTATCTATCATGCCGGTAAAGAATTGAGTATTTAAAATATGTAATACATACTTCGTATGAGAGTAATTTCCACACAATATGGTATACCTTGAATCCTCATAATTTTTTTTGTAGGCTCCTATTTATGGTGCATTAGTTGTCATGGTTATGATATGTTTGACATAAAGGAGTAGATATTTTGGGGGAATATAGTTTCTCTCAATGAAAGATTACGAAGCTAATTGTCTGACATCAAAGGACCGTTCCATTTACCTGTAATTATCAGAATTTTGACTCTAGAGGAAATTGAAAATAAAACCTGATTTTTTTTACCGTCCATTGCTAATGCAGCTAAAAGTCATCATTATATATGTCTTATTTTTGGGCTCATAATGGACTAAATAAAAAAGGCGCATTAAACTTCCCTTGCTTCTTACTCTCTATAAAGTTTGGGCAGTAAAATGCAGCAATGCATCTAGCGTCTAACGGAAACATCCGCTCTGCTTCTATAGGGATAAGACCACGTACATCTTGATCCCCCAGACCCCAACATAGCCGGGATTATAATGCGTTGTTGTGGTTTTTTTGCATCATTGTGTAATGAAGGATAATGTTGGTGTAGGCAATGCAGATGGCATGGGGGATGCAAGAAAACAAGAACTATACCTGGCTGCCGCAACCCTTAAGGTAATATCAAATCAGACACGCAATCACAGTTATGCATTCAGACTTTATTTAGTTCTGTGATTCTACCTCTTGGCTATAGGGGCATTCATCTAAAGTTGCTTTGGCGTCATTAATGCCATCAGTTCAAAGTTACCATACTTAAACATGTATGTAAAATGCAATCAAATTCTCATTTTTAGTGCAAATTTACCTTATATATGCATTTGATTGATTTACATTAAATTTCATTTCATTACATCTTCCTACACTATACCCAAGCCCCAAGGGCATAAGTGATGCTGAGTAAGCTATGGATAAAAGTGAGCAATACTTATATAGCACAAAATGTAGTAATTTTTGTTTTTAGTGTTATCTTTTTCATGCTTGTTCATTATCGGTGCTGCTTGTTACTGTAATTTATTCAGGTAATCTGGTTGTGGCAGGATTTATAAATAATATACATTTGGAATTGGGATAGTTTATTGATCTGTTCTAAATTATCTTGTAGGTATCTCCACATCAAGTAAAGGTCTTGGATCATCCAGATTTGCAGGTTTTTTTCTTCCAGCCAGCATTTTCTAAGCATCATTTCTTAATCTCCTCAGAATTGTGTATTGTGATGCCTTAGGATGGTTTTGGCAAAGTTTGGAACTCTGATTTGTTGGCAAAAATCATGAAAGAAGAAGCGGACAACAATTCAATTGACGTGGTGAGTAACTTCAAAGGAGACTTAGCTTTTAGAGGCATCAAATTTATTTGGAACTTGAAGTTGATGGTCAACTCCATTGCAGCAGAATTTCCATTCTCAAGTTATCAGTTTTTGATCAGATTGTGAATATTCATTAATGGAAAATTGAGGATGCACTAAATAAGTCATTTAAAAGCAATTATAAAGCGTATTCCATGTTTTCATCTGAAAGAAGATCAATTGTTAGCACATACGTTAGACTTTGATTATTAGCTTAAAAGTTGCTTCTTTGTCCTTGTTTTTTATTTCTTAGTATAACATCAAAAATCATGTCTCAATATATTTGCATGTTTACTCCTTTTAATATACTCTGTAGCTTTTCATTTCAATTGGGGTTGAGACCATTTTTTTGTGTGCAGGTCATTAGTTTTGACAATTATGGTGTTTCTGGTCATTGTAATCACTGTGATGTGCATCGAGGTGTACGGTGAGTTGATCTATGTTGTTAAGACAAAGGACAAGGCTTTCTTATTGCAATGCTTACCATCATTGTTGTAAAAAGTGCTAGATGGTAGACTGTGTGTAGTTCTAAACTGGTTTTAGGTAGTGACGTAGTGTTAAATTGGGTCTAACGCACTCCATGGTGTTTCTCCAGAGGCGACCTTTACCTAACACTAATCCCTCCGTCCCAAAAAGAAGTTCACGTTTACTATTCACAGGTCAAATTGACCTCTTTCCTTGCCAATTTTCACTACTCACTTGATAAAATAATCTAGGCTTATCGCCTCTTGTTTCATAGAACCTTTGATGTGATTTTTAAATATATGAAATTTATTTTTAAAGTTTGGACCAAGTATTCAAATAAATGGATTTTGAAAGAATTTGAGTAAAAAATCATAACTCGCAACAAGAACTTCTTTCAAGGACGGAGGTAGTATATGCTAAGCTCACACCTACTTTACAATCAATGTTGGATAATGGATACTCAACTCCTCCTCTATGTGATTTTTTCGGGTTTGTTTTTGTTGTTGTTGTTTAAATGGATACCATTACAACATTAATTCATTTCACATTCAACATGGCAGAAAACTTTTACAGGATGCTTCATACAAAAATCTTGAAGCATGGGAGCTTGTAAGTCCTCAAACTTCTATTTGTTGTTGATTCATATGACCATGCTTTAGTCCTGTATTGCTATGCTTCTTAATTTGTGTCACAAACGTCAAAAGCTTCAAGAGAGAGAAATGTGTTGAGCTATGCCACCTGACCCACGTGCCCTCCTGACATCATTCTGATCGCATCCTTACCAAATATGCCTAAGAACTCCTATATTGCCGGAAAATGCAAACCCTCTTTGTGCCACCATGAGCTCCAACGAGTGCCTTTTCTCTCCTTGTCACTTTTGACCACAATCCCTTAGCTGAAGAGGTCTCCACGATAGCATTCAGTGGTTTCCCAATAGTGTTTGCTCAGACCCTTAGTCACACGACATAAGGGGATTGTCTTCTTCCTCGCAACAAAACCCTAGTTTGGGTTTGTAGTTCATGGCCTTGCAACTAGGGTTGTAAATTAAGAGAATAGTTTTGACTCAATTTGTATTCGAAAACAATGATTCATATTTAAAAAAATGAATAAGAATAAGAATACAAATTCTTATAAGTATTTGAAAGTAAAACAAATGCAAATACAAATATGTATATGTTTGATTCGGTATGTTATCAAATATATTCGAATTCAACTACACAAATTAATACATAAATCTATTCTAATTCAACTTCTTTCTAATGTGAACACATTACATGCAACCAATTTTCTCATTTTTGGAACTATGTTATTATAGAGGTGCTTAATATGTCTTAGAAACTAATGACGAGTTGATGACTTTTCCTATTTCTTCGGTATAGTAACTTATTTTTTGTACATATTCATTGTATAATATTGTTGGTTTATGTGATGATGTATTTTCAATTTTTAGTCCTTCCTGAAATAGAAATGCATTATCTAATTTTCTTTTGAATTTCTTCATGTATGACTCATTTGGTACATCGAGTTAAACTAACGCAACATAAAAATCTAAAATATACACAGAGTAATAATGACTATTTATGTTGTGTGAACATTTTTTTTGCTTGACGCAAGTTTATTATTGTTTTTAGATATAGTATAAGAATTAACCTAAATTTAAGGGTTCAAAATCTATCTTGGTTCATCATTTCAAATATGAATATTCAAATATTTGTTTAAGATTTGACAGTTATTCGAATATCAATTAAATACAAATTGGATTCAAATATGTATCCAAAAAAAGTAAAGAAATACAAATTCAAATACGTTGGTATTTGATTCGTTTACAACCCTACACACAACTTTCCACATGTGTTCAAGGGGGTTCCATGGTGACCTTGACATGTGCACACGAGTGGGCATATTTGCCACTCTCCTTGGTAGTTCGAACTCCTTGTTGTGATACTTCTGCTGATTTTGTATCATGAATTTCAGGTCAGTTCTAATATATTCCGCAAATACATCGGACCAATTGATGTTTGGCTTTCTCTCTTATATGTCAAGCTCCATCCCAATGGGAAAGTTCATTTCTTGATAAATGGTCATCCTCGCAGAAGCTTTGCTGCAATGGCCCAACACCTGAGCCAATGGGTCTGGTATGTATTATCGTAATCGTTGAAGCACGTTTGGGATGATTTATTTAAGAATAAATGTGTTTAGAGGAAGAAAAGTACTTTCACTTCAAGAAGAGTTTGGCACAAAACGGAAAAAGTGTTTTTAAGTGTAAAAATGAGTTTCAATCTTTACCAAATAAATCAACAGACTTTTTTTCTTTCAAAAAGCTCGTGCATGAGAAAGAACTTTTGATAATAAGGTAAATGATATCGCGCTCTCTATCTTGCAGGTTTCGTAAGCTGTTTGTATCCTTCTCTAGCTATACCTATGTCAACTCTCTAAAGAAGATCGACGTTTAGGCGATATTCCTTGCATTGCAGATACCTATTTTCTTAAGGTACCAAACAATCCACACGAATCCACAAAATTGCCCCCCCTTTCAAATTCCATTTCCTAGTCTCTTTCTAATTCTGAGTAGGGGTAGGCCGGTAGGGTCTGCCTACACACACCCTCCCCAGACCTTTTTTTATGGGATTTTACGTTGTTTTCTTTCATTAGTGAAGGCAGAAAGGCCACTCTCCCTTTTAAGACACAACATAGTTGCTACTTTGATTTCTCTAATGTATAATATTTCTTCTGCTCAATTTTTTTTGTACAAAACCCAAAATGAATTGCACAGAGCACATTCAGATGCGATAGTTCTTCAATGCATCAAAGACACGCCGGAAAACAAAACAAAAAAAGGGGGGGAAAAAAGAAAAAAAAGAAGAGAGAACTTTGGCTGACAATTCTGCATTGCTTGCATAAATTTTTTTGTTTGTTTCTCCCCCCAAGCATGAACTACATCTCTTGACAGCCTATTATTTATGAAGAAAAAAAAGTTTAGAAAGAGGGGGGGACCCATTTAACGGAACATGTGATCGGTAAATGCAATGGCATCCTTGCTGTGTTCTTCGTCTTCCTCCTCCTCCTGATGATGAGAGGGATGCGAGAGCTGAGCAATGGGGTCAAAACAGTGCGAAATAGGGGCGGCGGTTTCTGCTGCCAGGTCGAAATTTGAGCTAAAGTTGGTCATGTTTATCAGGTTGTTTGAAGCGGAGGAGGCATTGGAATAGGCGGGCTGTAACACTCCCGCGTGATGCTGCTGTGTCTGATGAGAAGAAGTGTGGAGGGCGTTTGCCATTGCGAATCTGCTGTTCATCAGCTGTGCTTGCACCATTGCTAGCTCTGCTTGAAGATTTGCCACCTGCATTCATTCACCCAGCCAACATATTTGGGTTAACAAAACAGTAATTCTTGCTCTTCATTCTATTTTATGGTTCCCAATAATAGGTGGTTTTTCATGTTTAGTGTCTACTTGTCAAATATTAAAAGCCTATTTCCCATTTCTTTGGTTCCTTTTCCCAGTGAGTCTTTTGTCACTCATGTTGTTATCTACCTATTCAATACAGGGTTAAAAAGGTAAATTTTCACGCCTCTCAATTACATTCCTCCCCCGTAGTCATACACACTTATGCTTGCATGGTTAAGGTGTTGGTTTAGATTATGTTGTGTGATAAAGACGGAGCCATTAATTTTTGGGTTTACGATGAAGACGAAGAAGAGGGTTGCGGAGGGTTTAATTCAGAGAAGAGGGTTTGAAATTACATTTTTAACCTTTGAATGTGTAGATAACAACATGAGTGATGGGGGACTGATAGGTATGGACTAAATGTGAAACACTACCTAAGCTGGTATATATATTTTTACCTTTTACTTTTTCAGTTGTCGGACGGTTTTAATTTGTACTCCGTAAATAATAATGATACAATTTATTAAGGATTAACTTCAACCAAAAGAGTTTTTGGATAGTACTAATAAGAATCGGTGGGCTTTCCATTACATTGGAATGTCATGGAATGACCTGGGGGCGTTCTGGTGTCCCGTTAGAAAGTTGATGGTTCCTTACCCTCTAATCCACCTGGTAAACCTCCCCACCCTGCCTTGACCTGTACACAATCCCCACTCTTTTTAGTTGCACTCCACAAGTTAATTTTGACCTTGGAGTCAAATTTTGACACCAAAGTCAAAATTAACTTGTGGGGTGCAATTGAAGGGGGTGGGGGGGGGGGGGGGA